ATTTTTACGAGTTTACGGGGCTTTAAGGGCCTTAAACGTCAATGCAACGGGGACCGTTTTGGGGAAAGTTTCTCGGCTGGTGGTGGGGCACCTGTGTGCCGATTTTGAACGAAATCGGGGGGACCCCCCATTGACCCAAAATTTTGATTTTCCCGTAAAAACTTTCCTATGGGGAAAAAGTGGAATTTTCCTGCAGGACTGTGTCTGGGTAAACGAGAGCTTTCGATTGATACCCATTTTTACCATAGCACCACTTTTTTGTCCGTACAAAGGCGATTTTACGGATATTTTACGAGTCTAGGGGGCTTTACGGGCCTTAAACGTCAATGCAACGGGGACCGTTTTGGGGAAAGTTTCTCGGCTGGTGGTGGGGCACCTGTGTGCCGATTTTGAACGAAATCGGGGGGGACCCCCCATTGACCCGAAATTTTGATTTTCCCGTAAAAACTTTCCTATGGGGAAAAAGTGGAATTTTCCTGCAGGACTGTGTCTGGGTAAACGAGAGCTTTCGATTGATACCCATTTTTACCCTAGCGCCCCGTTTTTGGCCGTACAAGGGCGAATTTACGGATTTTTTACGAGTTTACGGGGCTTTAAGGGCCTTAAACGTCAATGCAACGGGGACCGTTTTTGGGAAAGTTTCTCGGCTGGTGGTGGGGCACCTGTGTGCCGATTTTGAACGAAATCGGGGGGACCCCCCATTGACCCAAAATTTTGATTTTCCCGTAAAAACTTTCCTATGGGAAAAAAAGTGGAATTTTCCTGCAGGACTGTGTCTGGGTAAACGAGAGCTTTCGATTGATACCCATTTTTACCATAGCTCCACTTTTTTGTCCGTACAAAGGCGATTTTACGGATATTTTACGAGTCTAGGGGGCTTTACGGGCCTTAAACGTCAATGCAACGGGGACCGTTTTGGGGAAAGTTTCTCGGCTGGTGGTGGGGCACCTGTGTGCCGATTTTGAACGAAATCGGGGGGGACCCCCCATTGACCCGAAATTTTGATTTTCCCGTAAAAACTTTCCTATGGGGAAAAAATGGAATTTTCCTACAGGACTGTGTCTGGGTAAACGAGAGCTTTCGATTGATACCCATTTTTACCCTAGCGCCCCGTTTTTGGCCGTACAAGGGCGAATTTACGGATTTTTTACGAGTTTACGGGGCTTTAAGGGCCTTAATTGTCAATGCAACGGGGACCGCTTTGGGGAAAGTTTCTCGGCTGGTGGTGGGGCACCTGTGTGCCGATTTTGAACGAAATCGGGGGGGACCCCCCATTGACCCAAAATTTTGATTTTCCCGTAAAAACTTTCCTATGGGGAAAAAGTGGAATTTTCCTGCAGGACTGTGTCTGGGTAAACGAGAGCTTTCGATTGATACCCATTTTTACCATAGCACCACTTTTTTGTCCGTACAAAGGCGATTTTACGGATATTTTACGAGTCTAGGGGGCTTTACGGGCCTTAAACGTCAATGCAACGGGGACCGTTTTGGGGAAAGTTTCTCGGCTGGTGGTGGGGCACCTGTGTGCCGATTTTGAACGAAATCGGGGGGAACCCCCATTGACCCGAAATTTTGATTTTCCCGTAAAAACTTTCCTATGGGGAAAAAGTGGAATTTTCCTGCAGGACTGTGTCTGGGTAAACGAGAGCTTTCGATTGATACCCATTTTTACCCTAGCGCCCCGTTTTTGGCCGTACAAGGGCGAATTTACGGATTTTTTACGAGTTTACGGGGCTTTAAGGGCCTTAAACGTCAATGCAACGGGGACCGTTTTGGGGAAAGTTTCTCGGCTGGTGGTGGGGCACCTGTGTGCCGATTTTGAACGAAATCGGGGGGGACCCCCCATTGACCCAAAATTTTGATTTTCCCGTAAAAACTTTCCTATGGGAAAAAAGTGGAATTTTCCTGCAGGACTGTGTCTGGGTAAACGAGAGCTTTCGATTGATACCCATTTTTACCATAGCACCACTTTTTTGTCCGTACAAAGGCGATTTTACGGATATTTTACGAGTCTAGGGGGCTTTACGGGCCTTAAACGTCAATGCAACGGGGACCGTTTTGGGGAAAGTTTCTCGGCTGGTGGTGGGGCACCTGTGTGCCGATTTTGAACGAAATCGGGGGGGACCCCCCATTGACCCGAAATTTTGATTTTCCCGTAAAAACTTTCCTATGGGGAAAAAGTGGAATTTTCCTGCAGGACTGTGTCTGGGTAAACGAGAGCTTTCGATTGATACCCATTTTTACCCTAGCGCCCCGTTTTTGGCCGTACAAGGGCGAATTTACGGATTTTTTACGAGTTTACGGGGCTTTAAGGGCCTTAAACGTCAATGCAACGGGGACCGTTTTGGGGAAAGTTTCTCGGCTGGTGGTGGGGCACCTGTGTGCCGATTTTGAACGAAATCGGGGGGGACCCCCCATTGACCCAAAATTTTGATTTTCCCGTAAAAACTTTCCTATGGGAAAAAAGTGGAATTTTCCTGCAGGACTGTGTCTGGGTAAACGAGAGCTTTCGATTGATACCCATTTTTACCTCTTTGTGACGTCATTTCTAGGGGAAAACGGGTCATAAAGGTTTCCCTCTACCGGGGCCTTTTTTCCCCCTACCGAATCTGTGCTGTGCTGAATCTGTGCTGAATCTGTGCCAACTTCCGTTACATGTCTTCGCTCCGCCTCTTTCTTCCGAGTTCTGCTGCTCTCTGAATTTCCCAGTAAGGGCCAATTTTCCAGGTCTTCTGTCCGTCTAACCAGTCTTCTGTATTTTCTGCTGAGTCTGGTTGCCGAAAGGGTGAGATTTCTATTAAATTTAACGTTATGTTGGGCCGAAACGTATGCGTTTTTCCGCTGTGCAGCCTCCGGCGTGCCGTTTCCATGGTGACTGCTATCTTCTCTGGGTGCTCCTCCTCCCTTCAAATATTCTGGCGCCGATAGGTGAATTTGAATCTTCTGCCCCTGGCGATGCCGGCAGATTTGCCAGCGTGGGAAGATGGGCCCGGGAATGCGGATGTGCCGTGCCATGCTGGAATTTGGATATTGTTACTCCGTCGGCTGTCCCAGTTTCACGATGCTGATTGTCGGCGCCAGTCTCGGCACATCCTGGAAATGTGCTATTTCGAGCCGTGTTTTGAAGAAATTGCCTTTGAAGTGTGATACCGGTGGTCAATTTGGTCCCGGGCGCCCCGGCCTCCCGCTGCCGCAGCGGCGCTGTCGTGTCCTGTTTCCCAGGCTGACGGTGTCCGTTCGCCGCGCGTAGGAGGCTGCGTGCCTTTGTCCATCCGTCCCCCCGGCCCCCCTTGACCGGGGTTGGGACCCATTGCTGGACCCTTCCCACGGTCGGCGGCGGTGAGACGGCCCTGTAAGGGCCGCCGGATAATAGCATTTGGCGGCGCGGTCTCGGATCCGTGTTTGTCCTGCCGTCCGGTGTCGGCCAGATGGTCGGCGGGTCAGCGGTGTCTGGTCGCCGGCGCGCTGCTGTTATGAAGGATGAATTTGGGAACGGGTTGATTTGGGGAGGGAAAATGAAACGCGCCAGCGTTACATCTTCACTGTCATCATCACTGTCTTGACGCACTGCCATACCTACTTCTTGGTCTGGCGCGTCTCTTCGAAGGGGTTCCTATGTCCTTTCCTGCACTCTCCTATTCTCGCCCATGACTGACTCTACAGTAGTGACGAGGAACCCAACCAGGTGAGACGTCGGCTCGCGTGGGAGCCAAGCGCTGACGACTAACTAACGGGAACCCCGGGCACCCTCCCCTCTGGAGGCTAAACCGTTGACCTGAGGTCAAATCTGAAAACATTACTCACTCACAAAGGTCTGTAAAAGGGCTTCCGAATGCGCTTTTCTGCGGCGCTGTAGCTCTATCGGTTCCCGAGATAGCTGTCGGCAGTTTCCAAAATGTTTAAATAGTCAACATTTTACCTTTGGTGACCTGGTGACCTGACCTTTGACCTGACCCAAAAAATGATTGAAGTGTTTTCGTCCTTATTTTGGAAGTTCTTTTGATTGCCGCTTACCGCGTGTCGCTATGTGGCCCAGGAGCCGAGTTAGGAGGGGGGGGGGGGGGTGTTCAGACACCACCACCCCCCCCGGCCCGGCGCGGAAGCTCGGAGCACCGGCCCGGCGCGGGTTAAGCTGCTGGGGGGTCGGAAGCTGAAGTCCAGTAGGAAAAAACTGGCATAGGCCAGGGCTGCTGGGTCTGTGCTGACTGCTGAGTCCTGAGGAAGTGAAGAGATTCTAACCATTCTTCGAAAATCAGCCCAATATCCACGTTTGCAAGGCTTCAGAAGACCTGGGAATGTGATTTTGAAATGTATGGACGTTTGTCCGCAATAAACTGAACTGAAAACCATGCCGTTTGATCCAAACGGCCGTCTTCCCTGCTAGTACCGACAGCCTGGTGTCGAGGCTGGAAGCGTGCACCTTCTGGCTCAGTCAAGCGAAAGAATGGTTCAAACGGTGATCTGGAGAGACGAGAAGCGGTATGTTCTACAGAAAATACCCCACAGGAACGATACAGTCCCTGGTCATCGATCGACGAATCAACATAAATCAACAGAAGCTGATTCCATGCAAGAAGGTGCACGGAGCGAAAGTCATGGCCGAGTTCTGCCGCGTGGAGAAGTGAGGGCACTTCGAGCGCCTCCTGTAGGCAAACAAGGTGTCACAACTGACTTTCGTTTGTGTAATGTCAAACGTCTAAGAACTATTCTAACGGTTTGCTGTTTATGTATTGAAATTTATATTGTGATTTCCGTGGGGGCTAACTTAATGTCATTCTTTATTGATCACCCTATATGTCAATATAATCCAGGAACCCCATCAGGGCGCGGGCCAAGTGTGATTCCTCTTTTACCGTGGTGGCTGGTTTCTTTGACTCAGGACAGGACCCGAGATCACGGATGTTGTCTGGCCAAGTCATCTTTCATCACACATAACCAATAAAGCACGAAGACATGTCTTTTGTCAGCCTCTGTACACCTCCGTTTCACCTCCGTTTCAGGTGGCTTTCGACGGCCACTCGGCCGAGGAGTGCCGCCAGTGCTGGGTGACCATCCAGTCCCGACTGCGGGTGCACCGCACGATGGGGGAGCTGCTGGCGGACGCTCAGGCGGCTCTCTGGGACATACACCGGGTGCGCAGCGCGCTCAAGGTGAGTTCGGACGGCGATGCGGCACTGCGGGTTCAACCGCTGTCAGCCCGGCTTAGTTTGTGGCTTGCGCTGTGGATGGCGGTATGTACGCGTTGTCCGTTGGTGAACAGTTAAAGTGGCATCCCACAACCCACCATAACATTAGTTTTGAATTGAGATAGCCAAATTGGGGTCCCTGGCTTGCACTTACAGGTTTGGGCACTCACAACATCGAGAATTGCTTTAATTCGGAGATGTTTAAAGGAAAAGGGCCACCTTTAACATGGGGATTGTAACTGAGATAGCCATCTTGTAGACCGTGTCCGAAAACCCTCCAGTCTATCTCCTTACGGCCGATTTCGGCTTCCATTCGTAGGTATCGGCAATTTTAAAAGAGGAATGCGTCCTTATCCCAGGAATGCGTTCTTACCCTGTAGTAGGGGAGAGTGGGGTAATTTGGCCGATGGTGTAAATTGGCCGCCCCCACCTGTACGATGTCTTATAAAAGTGAGTGAAATAACTCTAGTCTCTATTCATTTGTCATGGGTAGAAATAACTGGAGGACAAATGTCAAAACTTTGCCCCTCGTAGTTTTATTCAAAATTAATAAAACGTTAATTTCATTAGAAAATGGTAACTTTTACTTCTGTTTACAAAGTTGTATAACATGTAGTATTTGGGCTAAAAACGAATTCAGACATTATAGCGCCATTCTTGGGGGTATTCAACGGTTCCAAGAGCAATTTCATCTAATTCCGTATAGCCGTGATGACTTTATACACAAAAATTTTCAGAATGGCAATATGGGGTAATTTGGCCGGGAATAGCGGGGCAACTTTGCCGGTGCGCTCATGGTCACTATGCTGGGACGGCCGAGTTTTCATGGTCAATTGTACCATAAATGACATAATTCATGACCATCTTTGACTACTTTGATGCCTTACTTCCGATTGGTCAACTGTAAGAGCATGTGACGTCATCAAAGATTACCAAACGTTTTTTGCTAATAAATCCTTACATAAAAATGGTATAGCCGTACAAATGGTCTCATTCTGTTCAGCTCACCAAGGCGCATCGAATGATATGCATGATGACCTTGAAATCACGTGACCTTGAGGTCAAGCGACCTGAGGTAACCTGACCTGAGGTCAACCTTTGACCTTGACTTCTCGAGGTCCACACATATATGTTTCGATGCGGAATGACGAGAGAATTACGATGGTACTCGAAGTTTTGGCCTAGCTTGATTACTTCAAAAGTTACTCGTAAAAAACTGTCTACGCATCTAGAGCCGCTAATTTGGCTATTTTGACCCCTGTGACCCCCATGAGTCAACCTCCAAAATGTGGTAAATGCGTCATAGGACACACGTCATTGCTGAATCTGAAGCTGACTCGCAATATAACAGAAAATCCCGACCGCAAACTAACACCGGCCAAATTGCCCCACACCCCCGGCCAAATAACCCTGCTAGTGGGGCAATTTGGCCGCCTTGCAGACCTTTGTAATACGTCACAATTTCAATATAAGTAATTACTCTATCATTTCAAGTTCACTGTCCAGTAAAGCAAAACGAATGCGACACCTGCCAGCGTTGAGAAAATGCAGAAATGTGTCGTCAATTTTAAGTTACATCGTTTTCTAAAAAAAGCGGCCAAATTACCCCACTCTCCCCCCTACAGCCACCCGCGGCGAGGCTTTGGTTTTTTACCAATCAGCTCCAATCAGCTCAGCTTTAACCAATCAGCTTATCTGACACAATCCGACGAGTCTGTCTTCTGAACGCTGATTGGCTTGAGTGTGACGTCATCGCTATGCCATCATACAGTAGGTGCCGTCAAGGCTATAGAACTCCAGGTAAGGACACCAGCCGTTTGACCTTGAACGCCGCCGGCCGGCCGATGACGTCATTGGAGGCAAGCCGGCTCGGCGGACACACAGGGCGAATGCATAACGGAGGGGCGTTGGAACGTTGCGGGAGCCAGGGAGATATTTTAAAGTGGTTGCATACCACCATTGTTTGTTGATTGATCTACAGACTGCGTCCTTTTAAACCTCGATGCATCCTAGGCCTGGATGGTGCGTACATTCGTGGAACGATCACCCCGTCCGACGTCCGTGGTCGAAGCTGTCATAGTATTTAAGACACTAAGACGGGTGCAATAACGGCGATCCGATCCCGTCTCTGGCGAATCTAGAGGGGTCGTAAGGACCCAGGCCGAATCTGACCGTCTATTTTTAGGGAAACGGGGTGGGTGAATTGACAACCGATGGCTTAAGAGATGATGAGAAGGGATCCCGTCGTCGATTGTTGTTTGACAGACAACACATGTTGTACTGGGCGTATGACCATCAGAGGTACAGCCCTCTGCAAACTGCGTGGTAGGTATTCTTTCTTCGACAAAACCGAGAATATCGCGGATACTATGCTATCTATCACTCGGAAATCGTAACAGCAAGACGCGCGAGACTCCGCATCTTAGATGGGCATTACCATCGTATTCATTTTCCATCCAGTTTGGCAACAAAACCCAAAAGTTTATATTTGCCCCCAAAACAAACTGTTGCATTTTGTTGCCACACAAAGCATATACTTTGTTTAGTGATAGACCCAATCGAAGGAGTGGAGCATGGTGCCTCTATTTGCAATGAATTCCGACCGACAGATCACATAGTCTTTGAGTTATTACCGGTTTTGTCGAAAAAAGAATACCTACCACGCAGTCTGCTGAGGGCTGTACCTACTGCCTGAACGTAGGCAAGCATAATTGGTCTGTCATATTGTTTAGGAATATAAAATGGTAATGGAGATCATTGAGGATATGATCTCTACATTACGGGAATTCACTAATTACTACGGCCCATAGGGGCACCGCCGGAGCTGTTGTTTTGCCATCGGTCCCAGGCAACTCCAGGGAGCTGCAGTACCCGGCGGCCAAAGCGGCCACCTCGTCGACTCGCAGGTCCTCTGGGATTCCGTGATGCTTTAGTGCTTCACCCACAGAAGCACGGGCATAGCAGTAGGATGTGGGGCTAGGTGTCTGTCCACCTCTTCATTGAAAGAACAACGTGTACAGCGCCTGGTCCCGCCGAAGCTCGGTATCGACCGTGACTTATTCACAACTGGCGGATCCAGGAAGCGGTATTGGACACTGCGGGGGCTTACCCCAAAAAGGTTTCTCGGAATTAATTTTAAAAACTCGGATTTCGATTCCTTGCGCACTGCTGTGCGGTGTGATTAACCAACATTTCCTCAGAAAAGTTGTGAAGTTTTCATTTATTCTCGAAAATCGATTTCGGGCGCTGCCCTGGTTGTTGGGGAAGACATTTGCCCCAAATGCCTTCCCCTGGATCCGCCAGTGGCCTTTGCCCCACTCCGAGCTTGACTAAATACGTCTTCAAACCTCACCAGAAACCGATGGTAAGGTGAATTTAAATCCAATAACTCATCTCTGTCTGCCCGCCTAAATATACTACACATGGTACAGCACCCGGTCCTGTCGGAGCTATGAGCCGATCGGGATATTTTCGGCTTTCCCCATCCCAAGCTCGATTAGAAACGTTCTCCTTCCCCACCCGATTGCTGATGTCAATTCAAATTCAATGCCTCATCTCTGTCTGCCCGACCATAACCCATTCATTGCACACCGTTCAGCGCCCGGCCCCGCCAGAAGTATCCTAGCGCGCTGAGCAGCTGCCTCCAGCCGCGTCATCGCGAGGCCCCGCGCGGCCCATAAATGAATACATTGCGCGAATAGCCGTGTCGCCCCCCTGGGTGCCGTAGAGAGTATCAACATAGTACCAATATGTTAAATAGTTTTAAATACTTTTTCGCGAATTGTGCACTTCTGGCACCAGTTTTAAAAAGAAAATGAAAAATAATAATGACAAAATGAAAAACAACGATATCTTCATATTTCACGAAGGTGGCCCTTTTCCTTTAATTTCAAACTTGCAGTTTTCAGATTTTAAGGGGCTAATGCATTTGAATGCCCCCTTAGAATTTGTGACGTCGGCGCAGATCTAACGATTTTAAAATCTTATACAAAAACCATCGGTAAAACGTGGTGGTATATACTGCTTTGCGCGCAACCTCTGCCGCGCTTTGAGGATGTCAAATTGTTGCTTCCAAATGACGTCGCAGGAACAGCGGATGTCCCAAAATGTAAGCAAAGTTTAAGTACATATAATACCTTGGATACAAGTAAATATTTTTCGGGGATATTTGATAGATATTCATTGTTGATCTTTCTGAACCACGGGACATCGCTTTTATGCCAATTCATTAACTTTTTGAAGGTGGGCGGGTCCCTTTCATCTCGGTTCAATACCTATTTGTGTGAGCATCGCGCTTATGCTCCAGTGGATGGACCATTGCACTGTTCGGCAACCAATTTCAATATTTTTGTGGTATTGATAAGGCACTTTTGGCATTTCAGCTGTAACTCGGTGTTTTATATGGTGTTCAGTTGCTGTGGATAGTTAACCGATTTAGAACTAGCGAGGCTACCCATCGAACCAAAACTTTGCTCTCTTATTCGCATCAGGTTTCCTTGTAGGGAATTATATTTAAAGCATGATCGCGCCGTGCTGCTGCACCTTTGCAGTCCCTTCTGTTTCGTTCGCAGCGGAAGCTGCTGACAAACGGCGGCCCCAAGTACCCGGGAGGCCCGTTCCTGCTGTTCAGCCGGAAGCAGTACCCCAAGCTGAGGAAACAGCACCCGGATGTGCACCCGGCAGAGCTGCTGACCCAGCTCAGGGAGGAGTACGAGGCCCTGCCGGCAGAGAAAAGACAGGCTTATGAGGAGAAGGCGGCCGCTGCGGTCGCCCAGTTCAAGACCGCGCTGAAGACGTTGGAACATCTCTACCCGGAGCTGGGTTTGCTGAGAACTCTCGGGCCGCCCACGCGTCCACCTACAGGGTCAGAACTTTACAGACTGGAGCAAAAGCGGTCGTCGCGCCGCAAGTCCGCGCGGCCGTTCAATTCCCTCTTTTATGACAAAAAGAACGAGTACCTCTCGCGGGCCAGCCGGCTGCGAGCGCACTACCTGGCGCTGGTGGACGAGTATATGCTGCACTTTCCCGGCTGGGATGTGCCCGGCGCGCCGACGTACCGCCTGTGCCGGGTGAACTTGAAGAACGCCAAGCCGGTCACGGGCAGGGACGTGTTCTTGCGGGAGAAGATGCCGACAGATTTCGGCGTCCTGGATGAGAGGGATTGGCGAAACATCCTGAAACGCAAGTTCTTCCTACTCAACCCTGCTGACAAGGTATGTTGATCTTTTGTCGCTTTCTTTAGCAACACTTAACCCAACATGCTAAGAGCCCCTAAAATTGGCACATGTTTCCATCGATTCCTACCAGTGCAACTGCAGGCTTTTCGTGGTTGTTCGCTTAAAATCAAAACATTTGGGCCGAACAATGATCTTTTACTTTTTGCTTTTAATTGTGCTGCTGCTATAAATTTGCATTTCCTTGGCCCATTGACTATGGCTGTGGCCATTATGCTCAGCTGCATTTTCATCTCTTCCATTTTTTTCCATTCAATCGTTTTCATTCTGTTAAACGATTCAGCTAATATATGTAAGCCAGCCTTGGATCTTAATTCCGTGAACTGTTCAATGTTCTTTCTGTGCGATACGCCGTAAAGCTTGCCGCCAGTGACGGCTGAGTACCGACTGGGTGGACAACTGATGCTTATCCCATTCCCGGCCAACAGGAGAAGTACGAGGAGCGTGCCAGGCAGCTCACCATCGAGGCTGCCGAGTCCGAGTTCCAGGGGAACGCTGCCACCCAGTCGGGACCCAATGCCAAGATCGAGGCGGCCGCCTGGCGGCAACTGCTGGCCGACGCCGAGGCCGAGCTCATCGCGAAAACCCCGGCGACTTTCGAGGCCCAGCCCGTCTTCGACGCAGAGGCTCAGGCGGAGTTCGAGGCGGGGGCCGTCGCGGACTTTGAGGCAGAGCGGATGTCGCGGCTCGAGTACGAAGACGGCCAGATTGTGTTTGAGACGGAAACTCTGTCGGAGTTTGAGGCAGAGGCACTGGCCGAGTGTGTGGCCCGGGGGGATCTCGATGGCTCTCAGGTAGTGTTCGAGACTGCTGCCGAGGACCAGTCTGTGCTGGAGGCGGTGGCCGAACTCCCCGTGCCCGAGACAGTGACTCAGGCTGAGTCAGGGACTCGACTCACACCTGAAACGGAGACTCTACCCGAGCCCGAGACAGAAACTCAGTCTGAGTCACAGACTCAACTCGCACCTGAAACAGAGACTCTACCCGAGCCCGAGACAGAAACTCAGTCTGAGTCACAGACTCGACTCGCTCCTGAAGCAGAGAATGGGGCCGTGCCCGAGACAGAGACTCAGTTCCAGCCGGATACAGAGACTCCATTCCAGCCGGATACAGAGACTCCACTCCAGCGGGAGACAGAGACTCCATTCCAGCCGGATACAGAGTCTGAGGCAGTCCTGGAGGCTAAGACTCGGGCTGACCCAGAGACGGAGACTCAGATCGACCTGCACACCCAGAACCAGCTGCGAACCGCGTCCGATACGGAGCTCCACGCCGACACTGCGACACGGAGTGAACTGGAAGCCGGCGCACCCGAGGCCGAATATCCCAACGCCGGTCTCGTCAGGCTGGAGCGGCTACCCGACCTGCACGCTCTGGAGGGCTTCAGCGACATCGACCTGGAGGCGGAGACCGACGCCGATCTGACGGAGCTGCGGCCGGTGTCTGCCCTGGAGCCAGAGCCGGTCGGCGGCGGGACGGAGCTGACCTGTACCGGGCAGCACACGGACGGAGCGGCACTCGAGGTATGTTGTAAACGGGAGTGACTGAATGGAACTGGCGGTGGTAACTGGTAACAGACGTGGAGGTAGTCATGGTAGCGATTGCCGACTAGCGATCATGGCAGCTTGATACTCCGGACGGCAGTTAAAGTTTGGAAATATTTCAATGTCTTTTTTTAGTTAAAATTGTTTATTGATGCTTTCCAACATATTTTGCCGTACTTAACATTGCTTCATCTGCTTCCAAATTCCTTAACTTTTCACCGAACTGCTATGTGTTCCTCAGCCATGTCTGGACTCCCCGACTTTAAACGGCGCCAGTTCAGATATGACTCTGGGCGGACCGGCGGGGGACGGGGTTTTCTCCCCCGGGAGACGACCAGAGGGCCACGGTCCCCCCTCGCCGGAAATCGGACGGAAGAAGGTGGGTCCGTCCGGCTTTGCCTGGGCTGGGTCAGGGTCTCAGGAATATTATAGGCGAGACGTTTCTGAAGGAGGTCAACTTAGTCTGTTCTGGTTACAGCGTACTGAATCTGATAACTGTTATGCACTGATGGTGAATCCACACTCAGCTTCTCTTTTCATAGATGCTCAACGAATCGTGTTCAATGTTCATATTTGATGTTTTCAATAGGTTCTAAAGCGGCATTGCTCCTCAGCACTTGTGTTTGAACATCCAAACATTGCCAGTGCCAGAAAACCTGGCACTGGTTTTTGAGTGCCAGAAAACCTCAATTATGCCTCAATCATAACAGAGGCCAGTTTTACCAAAAAATACCAGCCGGCCGCCGAAATAAAATATCCAGCCGAAAAAATAGACGCCACACAGCCACGAGTTTCACCAACAAAAAATTCCAGCCGACTTCGGACGGAAATTATTTGTCGCCGGTAGTCAGCTGATATTCTGTTACGATATCAAATTACGATATGTCAAGGAGATTAAGAAATCATTTAAAGCATGTTTTCAATCAAATTGAAGCGTGATTTCTAATGCAAATGCTATATACATTTCGAAATATTATAATCGTAAATTATTACATTATTTTCAAGAGTAATAACAACAAAGTAGAGCATTATAAACTTTCATATCTATATTAACATTCTGGTGCCCAGCAAAAGCCAATCAATACAAAACTACCAAATTGTAAACGTAGGTACGTCATTCATAAAGGTGACGTAAGGAAGCTTGCATTTAAGGCAAATTTAAGATGGATCTTTTTTCCTGTCAGCCTATTATATTAATTTTTACAATACCTTCAACTTGTTATGTACCTTTTTGTCTGTTTTTAGTCGCACCTTGTAGAAAATCATCGTGTAGACCGAGAACGCAATGTGTGGACCTCCAGCTATGAGGTGGGGACTAGATGAGACCCACTCCAGTGGCAGCGGAACACTTTCAATTAAGGGGACACTGCCGACTTTTGGTCCCATTCTTTCCATGCAACGCCCATAGGGCTAATATTAAAATGTCAAAATCAAAGGGGGGCACGGTGCCCCGGTGCCCTACCCGTTCCGCCGCCTATGAGTCCCGCTCCCGACAGATCCGGGAGCCGCACCTCTTTCCTAGCTTTCAAAAGAGCGGCAAATAAGCGGTCAGCATTGCTCCCAGAGACGCCACCTGCAGCTGGACGGACGACGGACAGTTCCGCTGCCGAGCGATTGAAGTTGAACTGCGGTGCTACGAGGCAGCTTCGCGTGCACTGCATTAGCACCTTCTAGCGGGAGTAAGAGGGCTAACGAACTCGCCAAGGCCTAGCCTATATATGTAAAGCATTGTGCAAAGGCGAGTGTCTTACCTTAGGAAAATACCTACCCAGATTAACTGCTGCAGCGCGGTCATTGCAGGGCTGAGGGTACGTCGTTCGCTCCGCTTCGGCGAGGTGGAGGTCAGACTGCCCGGCTAGGTGGTTTTAGCCGATATGCAGGCCCCGTTTGCCGGGCCCGGTCGAGCAGAAGGAACGCCACACAGCAAAGAATATTTGCTCCAGGCCCGCTACACTGGTCCGGCTCGTAAGTCGTAACAAATTAACAATACCTGCGCTAGCGTCGTCGACCGTCGTTCGACTGCGCCCAGTACCGCTCAGTGGAGAGTCCTGCCGAACTCCTCTGCGTGTGCCCAGATCATTCGTTGCGCGCGGACACAATCGTCCGACGGAGACCGCTGTGCATTATGATCGGGTGGTCACCACCTTGGTCGCCGGCTTTCACACCCAGCCGAGCCGTCTGGCTACGCCCCAAATGATCGTCTAAGCCTTTCGATTGGTCTAATATCGAAATGTTTGGGAGTTAGGACATGTTAAATCCGTGTTCATGAACAAACATACATTATGCAACTAAAACGCTTTACTTACTTTAACTTTTCTAGGCTGATGACAAGGCATACATCTATTTCATTGCAATATTTCTAAAATGTAAATAAATCATGAGCAATGAGCATAAAAAACAACAGCGATCCACTAGAAGCTAGTGTGGAAATCCACTGACGTAGGTCGCCTCGTACTGGCGCAGCTCGTAGCTCGTCCAGCAGCGCCAGCGTCTCCCGCACCCGGCCGCTCGCCTGCACCATCAGCCGCTGGAAATTGCTGCGCTGCCGCTCCAACATTAGCTTGACCGCCTGGCCGGCCCGGCGGATGCGCGCCGTCCGACGCACGCAGTGTACGTCTTCAACCGCGCCGGGATGTCGTACGACACGACCGCGTCCACGGCGTCCACGTCAATACCGCGCGCTATAGCCTCGAGCACACCAGCGCGGCCATCTCAGCTAGCGCGCGCCGCCGCCGGCACGCCGGCACTACCCCACAGAACTCAGTCACGCGCGCGCCCAGCACAGACAGCGGTAGCTCCAGCTGGTGCGCCACCTCGTTCCAGTTGACCAACACGAGCGAGCGTCGCCAGTCGGGCTGTCGGAACAAATGGTGCATCAGCAGCGGCTTCAGCGGCTGCGGCGCCACCACGTTGAACGACTCGCTCAGCTCGGCCGGCGTGGTGAACCTGCCGACGAACTGACCGGGCAGTGCGACGGCGGCGGCCGCCGTTCCGACCACCAGCAGTCGCGGCTGGAACAGCGACATTCGCTCCAGCTTCTCCGGCCTCCGGGTTCTGTGACAGGGTGGCCAAGAATGGCAGCTTCTGAAGCGGCAGGTGAGGCGCGCAGACGGCGGCGGCCGTCAGCCGGCCGGCGATGCAGGGCGGCGGGCCGTGGCCGCCGCCACCCGCTCCACCGCTTTCAGCCAGCCCGTCTCGGCCATCTCGATCACCCGGTCGGCTTCGTCGATCACCAGGTAGCGCAGGTGCGGTAGCGAGAAGCCCTCGGCGCTGGTTATGTGATCCATCAGCCAGCCGGGAGTGCTCACCACGATCAGCCAGGGAGGCCGGGCCGCGCGGCCCCACCGCCACCAGTTGGCGCCCCCTCGTGCCACTGTGTCTCCACCCAGCAGCTGGACGCAGAGCGGCGTGTCGGCGTCGTACTGGCGGAACACGGCGGGCACCGAGCGGCCGGCCGGCGCCGAGACTCAGAGGTCGGCCGGTGGCAGTGGCGACTCTGCGGCCGCCAGCAGCTCGGGCAGCACGGTCACCTGCACCAGGAACACCTGTTCGATGCCCTCGGCGGCCAGCCGGGCGCGCAGCTCGGGGCAGAGCGCCGGCAGATTGGCCGGCGCCGGCCGCCGGTCGCCAATCGGCTGCAGGTGCGCCAGCCAGTCGGGCAGCGCACGCGGTGCACGGTCTGTCGGCTCGAGCGCTCCACCTCGTCCAGCACGGTGAAGTCGTCAGCGGCGGCGTCTCCGTCCGACTCGGAGGTGTCCTCACTGTCGTTATTGGCGACGGCGGCTGCCGCTGAGCGCTCAGTCAGGTCGGCCATCACAGCAACACTCGCCGATGATTGGCGTCATCGAAACCGTCGGACGATGGTGGATTCATCACCGTTTTTGCAGCAGAGACTGGAAAAACCTCAGCAATAAACAAGGAAAACCTTACAACATGCCACAGCCTGCAATTGTGCATATTGTTATTATATTTCTCACATGACAGAAAATATTGGCTGCTTTAATCTAGGAACTGGCATGAAAAACATAAGCTAAAATCAAGCTACGTGAATTATTATTGTATTTCAACATGAGAATGGGAAAAAATCCTTGTCACTGTCAACATGACCAGTGTAACGGATGGGCTGCATGAACATTTCGGCGCATGATCTGAAAACTCTGTGAGCAGAAATTTCAGCGCTGAGGTGAACAAATAACATTTCGGCCGCAATTTGCCTGGTGCCTCCACAATTTTGCAAAACTAACTCACAATACTTACAGCCAGTTTTAACATGATCCCTGCATGACTCATGCATGCAAGATACACATGCATTCAATATCAGCACAGTGCACACACAACAGTTATGGATTCATTTACATTTTACAACATTACTATTATTTTCTTTTCCTTCAATATTGGCAGCATGACTTGCTGAGCTCAGTGGCACAATCTTATGACAGCAAGTTTGTTCGGGTTCGCAACCATGCAAACTTTGCACGTTTGGCTTCAAAAACAAGCCTTTATACATTTCTTTCATGCTATTCAATTTCTTTTTTTAAATTTACTGTCATTGATCTTGAAAATCTTGCCATTTTGGTCTTAGCCATGTCAATTGCACCTTCCCTATTCCGCACAGCTCAAGTAAGTTCCACCCAAAAGTAGTAGGTAGTGGTATCAGTAGTTGGCACCTTGCATTGTCAAATGTAGCTGAATATGTGAAAACAGTGACATATTTATTTAAAATCTTGAGTCCAATGAGCCTACCCTCTCTGCCTCTCCTTCCAGCATTTGTTCAAGCACCTTCAATTTTCGAAAATGATCTTCCATCATTATTTTCCACTTCCGTGCGACTCGCACGAGCAATGAACTTGTAAGCTGACCACTAGTTAATAATGTGCTATCATCTTGCTGTTGGGTGCTTGTAGCAAAAAGATAATATAAACGAAAAAACTAACACCACAACACCAAACACCAGTCTTGTTGGTTTCTTTTGGTCCTGCCTGGTGACAAAGGCTCTTTCTTTACGCAATATCATCAATATTCCTCTTCTAATCTTGAAGCCCAGATGCTTTACAAATTGGCCATGAATGATACTAAATTATTATATCAACTGGGAAGCGCAAATCACGATAATTAGTAACAAATGAGGCCAATTGTTCCAACACGACATCAAAAAAATAGACGGGGTCGCCCGTCTATTTTTTGGGCTGTTTTTCTACAAATAATGGCGCAAAATAACACTCCATTAATGCCGCATTTGCCGTTGGTGAAACTCACTGGCTATTTTTCTGGCTGATATTTTTTCACGCCGGCGGATATTTTTTCGCCTGGTTGGTGAAACTCGTCGGCTGGTTTTTGACAGAAAAATTGCGCCGGGCTGCTATTTTTCTGTTGGTAAAACTGGCCTCAGCTCAGGCTTTGGACAGCTTGCAACTTGCAACTGCAATCCTTTTTTATAAGTAACATCAGCCGGAATTAGTACACGCGAGAGGCGGTGAGGTCTGACATATTCATCGTATGTTTCTGGCGCTCTCTCCGAGTCCTTTATAAAGCTGAGATGGGTTGACCAAATGTGTGTCATGCCATATTGGTTGATATATCACCGGTTTACAGCGCAAGAAATTGCATGACGGTGAAATTCCCGTTGATGAGCCGCCACCAAAGAAGAAGAAAAAGAAGAAAATTCGTGATAGGGTCGGCATATTTACGTCTGGACAACGAGTTGCGTTGGAGAGGCCGGAAATAGTGGCGATTTTAGGACCGCAAGAATGGACCGCCATTGGAATGATTCTTTTTGAACCCGTACACTGTTTTCAGCTGGAATTTAATAGTTACTACAAAACATTTTGTGATTACGTTTGGCCAAGAATGAATATCATCGGCGCTAAGTTTTCACTACCATTGCATTTTGTCCAGAAGCATATAGTGCTGTAATATTGCAGTTTTTGCGCGTTTGTTACAAAATATGAAGCAAACATGCAAAAAGGTTCCAAAGTAACGTTGTATATCGCAAAATATCATATTGACCTCAAGTTCATCCGTTGCATGATTGACTGGACAGATTTACACGCTTCAAGTTTATCTTGGATCAGAGGTGTCAGTGTAGTTCATTAGTGCCAGAGGTTAACTTGAGGGGAAGCTTCAAGCTATGATAATTGCTCTTGTCAGTTGTCCATCCACTAAGAAGTTATTAAATATTACATATTTTGTTTTGTGTTTTCCAAGAGGAGAGGGAACTATTTTCTTTGTGCCTTCATGTCAGAATTGAAGATGGATCATAAAATTTTCAAGGCAGTTAATCAACCAAGCATTTAGTCTTTCTCATATATAAGCTGTGGCTAAGAAGAAAAGGTTGATCAATCCTGAAGTTCAGTCATCTTACTTCAACTTGGCAGGAAGATCCCCAAGGACAGAGGATATATTGTATACCTATCCTGTAAATCAAAGCATTTTTGTGACTGCAAGGCTTAGCTATTTGTTGTGTGCTCGGAGTGAGGCTATGGGCGCTTTTGTTGTATGTTTATGTGGAGATTGAATATAGCTGTGACCCTGTGTTTGTTTGTATATTTATTACAGTCCAGCAACACACTCACCTAACATACTCATTACTCACCCAGCTCATAGCTTTACCCCACAGGATTTGTACTTGTTGATGTCTTGAGCATGAACAAAGCACTAAAGTAGCCTAGTTATCATTTCCCACATTTTTCTGAGCATCTAACATGGCATACAGTAGTGCTGAGCAGCTTTAGAGAAGAGAGACATTAGAGAGACACTGTGAGGAGACACGCACAGACTCTCACCAGCCACCCAATGAGCCAGTTCCTCATTTGACTGTTTCCCTGGATAGTTGGATACGGCTTGGCAAGGTGAGCTAACTGTTGGCAAGTTGAAGGTTAGCAGGTGAGATGGAGCTAGGGTGAGTAAGTACCTACCTATAACTGAGTGCTACTGCTATGCAGGTCTTGGGTAGGTTGCAAATATGTGTGATGATTGAGGTTAGGTCAGGTTAGTCAGGTATGCTCAGCCCTCAGGTCACATTGTTATGGACACTAGGCAATTTAAAAACTAACAACCTGATCTAAGAGCACCCAACTAACCTACACAACTACTAGCTATATGACTAAGTTGTGCCTATATCTCATACCAAGTCAAAATAAACTATAATGTTCCTTGCTCATTGCTGGAAGATTACCCTCAGTACTTTTTATCCCAGCCCTGTGAAGAAAACTAATGCTTCTAAGTTCTGAGTCATTTCTGGCCATCCACAGAAAGAAACGCTGACAGCTCTTTGCTATTGTATATTGGACCAATAATCACTAATGACTATGAAATTGAACACATCATACAATCACATTGTTGCATGGATTGTATTCGTGACATTGACAATTCTTCTTAAATCCTTTTTTCAAGAAATGCAAAGTAATGATGAACATCAAATTAAACATTAAGCTGATTTAGTGATCCAAGCAGCAAGCTGTCTCCTCCAGTAGCAATGGAATGATTGCGTGTTTCATTTGCCAGACACTGAGTAATGCACATTACGACATTACCATTCTGCAAAGTAAAGCTGCGTGAGTTCATTCATTCTAGATTTTTTCACTTGTGAGTTAGCACAAATTAATCTTGCTGTTGTAAGTTATAATTCAATATTAACACCAATACATCAATACGCGTTCGTCAGCCAGCATTTTCTGGCTTGATATTGCTCAGCGTGCTCTTCAGTATTTATCTCCTGCAATAGTATCAAGCTTGTTTTTGGCCAATAAGCTCTTTTAATTTTACTTTTTCTTGCTGATAAGTGAGCCAGACCAACTTGCGTTTATCAACCAACATTTCCTAAATTCAAATTGATATTGCTCAGGGCTCAGGACTCTGGAGCCTTAGCCTGCTGCATACTTGGAACTGTTTTCAGTCAACATGTTTCTTTAACATGATATAATTCAATCACAAGGGATCCAAAACTTCCAACAAAAACGACGTACACGAATATGAAAACGTCAGATGAACTTGAAAAAGGCCTTGGAACTGAGCCAAGCGGTGCTCCATTTGTTTGTTTACAATAATTGTAGTGCTGGTGTATTGTTTTATGGGTTTTATGACTCTAGCATTCGGCTTATAAAAATGAAACAATTTAATCAAATCCATCAGGCAAGTAATATTTTTCTGAGAGAACTAAAATATTTAAAAGCTAAACACTACGAAATACAGGAATCGGAACGAAAAAGTAACCTTAATATCCAGCCTAATCACCGGCTCCTAAAACTGCGACAAAATCAGCACTTTTCCCCGCAACTCGTTGTCCAGACGTAAATATGCATAGGGTCGAGGGAGCAAGTGCCAAAGACGACGAGAATAACAGGTGCGTCTGGTAATGTTGCTATGACAGGTGAAGCCATTTCAGTCAATTTCAAACTAAAACGGACTGGCTAACCTAAAATACCGGTCGAGCTTAAATTGATGTGCCTAAATAGTTGTCTGAGCTCAGTATTTCTGCAGCAACGCCTTTTATCTGGAACAGCTTTTTCTGATGTTGTCGAATCGAAACACTAAGGTTGAGGTTCATCACGATTCTTTATCTGAATATTTTCTTTTTTATTATCATTTTTGATGTGAAAGTCCTCAGTCCTGGTGATTTGAGATATAGTAAGCGAACGACAACAACTCAAGCAATAAATCGCCAGATTATCTGACATTTGGACTGCAATAGACATGCGTTCAGGTGGTGTTCAGTAGACCGCAGTGTTCAGTGATTTCTTTTTACCTTTAACATGGCCCTGTCCATTTGACATTTTGCTCACTCCTGCCTCCGCCAGTGAGGCCCCGTGGTCGGCCGGTCCGGCCCGCCGGCCGCTGCCCGACCTGCGGACTCCGGAGCCGGAGCCGACCCTGTCCGGTGGTGACGGTCCGGCTCCGTCCTGTCCCGGACCGCAGATCGCGGGCAAAGCTGCGCCAGAGGTCAGTTGGTCGTTGGGGCAAGGAATGGTGTTAAGGTGGCCGTCCACAGGTTAGGCGCGTATTCAGCGCGCAATCGCTCAGCGCCTAGCGCGCGCTGAAAGGTTGGAGTGTTTTAATTCGTTAGCGTCGAATACACTCATTGCCGACCAGCCGATGAATAATCAGCTGTTATTTGCCAACGCTTCATCGCGCTTTAGGCGCTGAAACTGCAGTCGGCACTGGATCACGGCACGGATCTCTCAATAGATTTGAGAGCTGGATCTATGATCACGTTGGATCTAGGATCCCGTTGGATCCGAGATCAGGATCCGTGGGATCAGATCCCAGATCCATTTCCTCGGATCCATGCACATGTCTCATAGGTCCAGTAATACACAAGCTCACGACAGGCCGACTAAAGCTGGTCAGTCACTATCACACGGCTGGTGTATTACTGTTTTCCCAGAATGAGGAGTCACAAGAGGCCGACGTTCCAGTAGAGGAGACGCCGCGAAAGAAGAAGAGAAAGAAGAAAGTTCGCGTTAGGCTCGAAGGACCAAGTGCTACAGAGGACCAGAATATCAGGTGCGTGATGAATTTGCTATTATTGTTTAGCCTAATTCCTTACGAGCGAGCAAAGCGAGCGACGTCTTCGTAGAATATGAGAAATTTATGAGTGCCTATGAGCGGTCGGCCGTCGCACGCTTTTGCGGTGCTTATGTCTCAGCAACCACTAAATCGATTTAAATACGATCATTTTTATAGGGTTAGCTTCATTCTTTCTACCAAGTATTGGACTATTCCCGATGCATATTGTTGAGTACCCCAAATGCACGTAGGCACTTGCAAAACTAAGAGGTGTCAGTTTTGTAGCAATTACAATAACTCAGTTGGTACTGGACTGATCGCGCTGAAACTAGTAGCAATTAGTAACAATTATGATCGGGCTGACCGACGTGTATGTAGGCACTCACCAGGCAATCCATTTCCGTGTGCCACATTTGGGGAACTACTGCACGTGCGCACGTGCAGGGGTCACTTCCAGATCTCGAGAACGGCTGGGCCGGTTGGGCACAAATTTGATTCCCAGCTTGGGACCGGTGTTCAAGTGTTCAAGTCAATTGGAAGTACCCCGCATTTCGCACACGTGCAGGGCTCATTCTCTTGCTCGCTCGTTTGTCGTTCTAAGGGCGTCTTACCGGTTTAATATCCCTGAAACATTCAGGGTTATCATAATATAGTTAATCTAGATATGCCCTTTTATTTTCTGGAACCCTTTCGTCCTGGCAATTTGTTCGGTGGAAAACAACAGCCTAAACAATAAATTAAACATTTTTAATCGTTTAGGCTGCAACGTACTGTGTTCACTGTTCAGTCGTTGATACGTATCGAATAATGCTGTCGGTTGACATTTCGATCGCTCTTTCCTCCGCCAGTGAGGCCCCGTCGTCGGCCGGTCCGGCCCGCCGGCCGCTGCCCGACCTGCGGACTCCGGAGCCGGAGCCGACCCTGTCCGGTGGTAAAGGTCCGGCTCCGTCCTGTCCCGGACCGCAGATCGTGGACAAAGCTGCGCCAGAGGTCAGTAATTATGAGAATTTACAGTATGATCCGAACCGCGGGTAAATGCACAGCTAAAATACTCAAAATAGCACTGCTTTCCTTCCAGGTTTTCACTTTTTGAAACGGTTACAATGGAACGTAATGATGGACAAATTTTGCATTAAAATGATATTGTATCCTTCTAATTATGTGGCTCAGTAGATGAGAAGTTCGCGATGGTTCGACCAAACTGGGCAGTTTTCACTTGTCACACAATTGATGTCCTACGGTTTTCCCAGGATAAGAGGTCACAGGAGGCCAACATTCCAGTAGGGGAGACACCGCGAAAGAAGAGAAGAAAGAAGAAAGTTCGTGATAGGCTTGGAGGAGCAAGCGCGGCTATAGAGGACGAGAATAACAGGTGCGTGTGTGTACTGCTACATACTGCTATTATTGAAAAGGCCAACTTATTCAGTGTCCGTACTTACACTGGCTTGATATAATAGAAAACCTGTATCGGGCGAGTTAAATTATTGCAGTGTTTGGTCGTTTGTTGGTCTTGAAACCTCTTATCGTTAGCATGTATCGATAAAAAGCGATTAAGAATTTTGCACGAGTCACGGCAAACGTCGGTGTATCCATATTTGGAGGAGCTGGTTTAATATTGTGGAAACACTGAGGCTTGTCACAATTTATCAGTAACCTAGATATTTCCTGTTTAGCACCCTTTGTCCAGGCAATTTGAGATACATTTGGCGGAGAACAACCCAAAGTAACAATACATGGGAACAATACCGGTCGTTTGGACGGCAACGTATTATCTTCAGTTGCTATGTACATACCTATTACATAGCTCTGTCCATTGACATTTCGATCGCTCCTCGCTCCGCCAGTGAGGCCCCGTCGTCGGCCGGTCCGGCCCGCCGGCCGCTGCCCGACCTGCGGACTCCGGAGCCGGAGCCGACCCTGTCCGGTGGTAACGGTCCGGCTCCGTCCTGTTCCACACCGCAGACCACTGACGGAGCGGCGCCAGAGGTCAGTACTTTGGGGGAATAGTGAATCTCTGAATCTTCTGATTCAGCATGTTTTTTACTGGATCACGCAAAACTAAAAAGTCGTATTACTTGCATGGTTTTCACAGTTTCATGTATTCTTTTTTGTTGAACAAGCTACAACGGAGACGCCTAGTACGAGGTTGTAGAGTTATTGCTACTGAAAGCCCGATTTCAGGCGTTTGCCCTGACCTTGACCCGACCTGTGACCTGAAACTTCAAAAGTACTCATCAGGAAGCGTCTCGTCGCGTTCTTTCGTTTGGCGCCTCATCCGTTTCGATGCGCTGATTGGTTCTCGAGTTATCGGCTGAGGGCGTTTGACGCCCCCCCCCCCCCCCCCCCCCCCCCAGCAAGCGATTTGTGACGAAACACCCTAGCAGCTGCCGGGTTTAAATGATGTATCCTGCCTATAATTACCTTTGTGGCTCAGTAGATGAAAAGCTCTTGACGGGTCCACCGAATGTCGAAGTACATGACTGATAGATGCCTGGACGCTGGTTTTTCAGAATGAGAAGCCATATGACGCCGACATTCCAGTAGATAAAACGCCGCGAAAGAAGAAGAAAAAGAGGAAAGGTCGCAATAGGCTCGAAGAAGCAGTTGCCACAGGGAATGGGAATAACAGGTGCGTAGTTGATTTGCTATAATGGTCGAAGCAGTTGAAGCAGTTAAGGTCCAAGCCTTAAGTGACTGATTTAAGTGAAATAGTTACTAGCCGAGTTGTATTTTTTTGCGTGCCTAGATAATCTCGCTTTTGAATATGAATGTATTATATTTAATTGCCTGTACCTACGGTGTGTTTTACACCGACTTTCCATTGACATTTCGATCGCTCTTTCCTCCGCCAGTGAGGTCCGGTCGTCTGCCGGTCCGTCCCGCCGGCCGCTGTCCAACCTGCGGACTCCGGAGCCGGAGCCGACCCTGTCCGGTGGTAACGGTCCGGCTCCGTCCTGTCCCGGACCGCAGGCCACTGACGGAGCGGCGGCAGAGGTCAGTAATTGGGGTGGGGAGTATTGTTACGTGTTTGGACCGATGCCCTTTCAATCTACCTCAATTTACCTTTTCATAGATAGCTTTAAATAGTTGCCTGTTGAATATAAGTGCCATGAAGTGTAGACATCTCGCTGGATGATACGTACTGATTCTATGTATATGGGACCCAGTTGTCTACAAGCTCACGACGAGCTGACCAAATTCGTGCCCAATCTTACCAATGCCGTGAATAGCTATTCACGGCATCTCATTCACGGCATGCCGTAGATGTTTATCCACGGCATTTCGGTAGTGCTTTTAACGTGGGCAGTGACACAGCTGTTGCGAGAGCGACAGAACAAACGCAGTCATATCTATAGCTAGCTAGTCAGTCATATCACACGATGGTGTGCTGCGGTTTCACAGAATGGGGTGTCACAAGAGGCCGATATCCCAGTAGATGAGACTCCTCGAAAGAAGAAGAGAAAGAAGACAATGCGTGATAGGCTTGAAGGAACAAGTGCCACAGAGGATGAGAATAACAGGTGCGTCATGCAGGTGCGTGGTTGCGTTGTTTTGTTACCTGAAGCTAATTCAGTCAATGTCCAAACTAGAGCGGACTAGCTAAACTAAAATACCAGGAAGACGCCTTTTGTGGCGATAAACGAGCGAGGGCGAGTGTGAGCCCTGCACGTGCGCTAGGGCGAGGGGTACTTCCATCTGACTTTTTTCACGGCGCCCTACTTACAGTCAGCCGTTCTTGAGACGTGGAAGCGGCACCCTGCACGTGCGCACGTGCAAGCTGGGTGAAAACTGACTTTCGCGCGGCACCCTACTCGCCGTTCCCTAACCGTGTACCAAATCTGAACGCGATTGGCCCAGCCATTCTCGAGATCTACTAGTTTTTGACATTTCCGGTTAAAATCGGTAAAAAGGCAAAAACTGGCAAAAAGCTTTTTTCGTCAAAAAAAAAATGAATGCTCTTTCGCATTACAAACATGGAAACCTGTTGCATGACTTTGTCCGTTGACATTTTGCTCACTGTTTCCTCCGCCAGTGAGGCCCCGTGGTCGACCGGTCCGGCCCGCCGGCCGCTGCCCGCCCTGCGGACTCCGGAGCCGGAGCCGACCCTGTCCGGTGGTGACGGTCCGGCTCCGTCCTGTCCCGGACCGCAGGCCACTGACGGAGCGGCGCCAGAGGTCAGTATTTGGAGCGGGAAGCAGCGTTATAACTGATAACAGTATCTTCGTGGGCGGTACCCGTAGCTAAACATAACCTTTAGTGCGTTATTTTTATTTCACGAGGGACAACGAAGTGTCATGATGGTGTGCATTCGTCAGAAGACGTCATATCCTGGTACCGATAGTGTACTTGATTTGACTGGTAACTCCTGAGCATGTGTTTCGTAAAGCCACGACGAACAGATCCAACGCTGGTCACGTTTTTGCAACTCGTGTGTCTCGGTTTCTTAGCGTAAGAAGTCACAAGAGGCCGACACTACCGTTGGTGAGACACTGCAAAAAAAAAAAAAAACGTCGGGCCATCCACAAAACCGCAATTTCAGACATTCGGTGGCATTTTTAATTGTCGTTACCACCCCTCACTTCATTTCATGTTTGGCGTGCAGTCACGTCCTTAGACATGCCAGTCTAGTTTTGTTCGGTCCGAAACCTGACCTGGGTCCACCTGATCCTCATCGTTCTCAACCCACAGAACGAAGACGGCACGCCGGACAACGTGGTAACACTCGAGGCGATATCCAAAGTTGAGGACGCGCCGGCAGAGAATTTGGCGAAGGACAAAGACAACGATAAAAACATCACCGAAAATGTCGATATGAAGGAAGAGAACCACGGGACAAATGAGAACGATGCATCGACACCTACGAAAAGCAAGGCTGATGGTCCGGGTGCCACTGGCGGATACGGGAGCAGACGGCGGTCGTCTCGCTTCATGTCGCGGCTGGGGCGGTCCTCGGTCAGACCAAGCCACGCGAATAGGAGTCCCACAGTGGTGCGCGCCCTGGAGTCGTCTGGCACCAGCGGCGGCAGGCCGAGACGAAGCTGCCGTATCAAACGGGGAAATGTCGCCACTGTGCCCGAGGTGGGTTAGAGAGTGGAAATAAGCAGTTGATGAATATTTTCTTTGTCATATGGAGTACGATGGATTTTAACCCTAAAACGGGAAATCATACCCCCTCAAGTGTCGTCATGTTGTGATAATTGTTTGTTTAAAGTATGTAAATTAACCAGCAAATCTCCATTTCCAGAAGCCTCCGCAGATGCCGCCCACTAGTCGTCAGAATTGCGACACTTCCAGCGCTACGATCAGGGAGGGGGCAGCCGGAACCGACCGGAAAAGGGTGAGCGGTGCCAGGGTTGAGGTGGAGGGGGCTCGGTCAAGGACTTTGGTTTTTCCTTCACAATTCACTGAGATTTGTCGAGTGGCAGGGAGCTGCGTGTTTACTGTAACGGTAGTGACATTGGGTGTGTGTCCAGTAGCGATGCGTGTTGAGCTGACTGACCAATTCAGTTGAAGTGGTTTTTGGTTAGATGGTCGTCTGCGAGTGTTTCTATGTGATATTACTTGTTTTTTTTTTTTCACCAACGCAGATGCGTTATTCGTGCCTTATATTCACGATAGGTGACGGTTTGGTGTGGCGGTGACTGCGTATCATTAATCTGGGACTTGTGGCCGTTTTACAGCGCTCCTGTGTCGCCGGTGATGTCAGCAGCTCTGCGGAAGTTAAATCGGAGGTGCTTGAAAAGCAGATCAAAGCAGAACCACGTGTTTCCGTGGAACGTGATACGAAATACGAGCTTATAAACCTCTCTGAGCTAACCGATTCGGTATGCGTAGAGTATGAACCGCTGCAGCTACAGCCAGTTGTGAAGCTGGAGAGGGAACCGGGCTCTGCGCTGTATACCTGACGGAAGCTGCAGTGTCCTGTCGCCGTCGAAAGTAAGGAGAGCGAGTTGCCAGTTGGCAGTATCTGCGACAGGGGTGGCTGGTCATTGGGTGACTCAAAACCAGCATGGTGTGTACCTGCACTTCTCAGGTCTTTCATACAAGATGGGGATGTAATGTGGCACTTCAGGCAGCTCTGTGATGGTCAATGTGTGTGTAGCCTCGATAACGGCGATCCATTGAACTGATTGGGTATAACTGGGCTGTGTCAATACTCAATGTACTGGTCAACTAAACGCGCTGTTGGCTTTTACGTAACGAGCTTTTAGGATTATGTGCCTTAGGAGTTTTCACACAAGACGACTGCTTGCATGTTTTCATTCGCGTGTTAAACGGAAAGTCGAAGGTGATGACTAGCCTTGTACTCCGTCTAATATACGTTTTTATTAATATTTTGCATTTTCGTGGGGTGTCATTGTCTTGTCCGTGCTCCTTTCGCATGTCCCTTAGGGTATTACCCATCTGACAACGTCCGAAAATGATTGAACGATGTCGTTTTTTTCGCGTAGAAGGAAACTTAAACAGTTTTATTACAAAGTTTGATGCATGCCTGTAGGCTGTACAACTACAGTGTACACCAACCGCTGATCAATGGTGTTTTGGGTAGACCTCTGCGTCTGCACGGCCCTAGCATGACTCGAATTTGCAATGCTCTCGGTGCACTGTAGGCCGGCAGCCTGAAAAAGCGCTAGAAATTCCCCCAAACTGACTGTACGCAATATGAACAAAATAGGTATCATTTAATCCCAAATTGATCGAAGAATACGATTCCGATGCTAGTTTTGCCCTAAGGTCAAAATTGAGGTCGTCAGTTGTCACCAAACACAAGACAATTTAGACTCTATAGGCCACCACATTTACCGATTTTAATGATGAACTTTAGTGGTAATTTATTAGTTGACCAATCGTCGTTTTGAACGAAATTTCCTGTCAGACTAGTTCAGGGCACTGTTGTTCACTGTGCCAACATCATTCTGACATATTGTATCGCTTTTCTGCAAGATAAGCTAGCTGTTTGCAAGCAGCTGCAAGACGTAATTTAAAATCATATCCAATTTTTTAATTAGACTTTTATAAAAACGTTATTTCGAGCGGCTAAAAATGAACATTTTATGCTAGCCTCTGATTACTCATCTTTTGTTCCATATAGGTGCTTTGCTGCTTTTCCCTGCTACTTTTCGAGATATGCGCCAGTAAACCACGTGATGTAGGGGCAATTGTCACCTCGCCGCTCTACTGAAGACCCGGCGCTCTTTAAAACGCTGGAAGTTGTGAAAAACAAACGCTTATAATCTAAATAAAATATATGTCCCTGAGCTCAGAATTGATCAACGCACACAATGCTGTCAACATTTCTGGGCCAAACTAAAAAATTCAGTCATTATTAACCCCTAAACACAAGTCAGTGATAATCAACAACAACTTGCTCTTTAGTTAGACTTTTTGAGAAATGTTATTTCGAGCCGCTAAAAATGGCCATGCCATACAAACCACCAATCATCTTTCTGCCATGCCCTACTCGCAATTTTTGCTAATGCCTGCTACTCTTCGAGGTCACGTGACCTCACCATTAAAAGTGAATGGGGAAATAAGGAAACTGTTGTTTTTGCGCATGGAATGATTTCAAACTATCTCAAGCACACGGAATCGTGATTTCGTGCACTCCTTGCAAGATCCGATGCTTTACTTTTGCATTTTTGACCTTCCGTGACGTCATTTATGACGTCACACCGGTCATGGGAGTTTCTCGTCAATAACTCATGATCAAATTGAGCCAGCGACTCGGGAAAGCCACCAATGGACTCGGGAATACCTCCCGAATCGAATGATATGCGATACGACCTCCTTCGATTAAGTTCGTGGCCTGATGGGCTCTGAACTGACCTTGACTCGAGGTCAATACCTTAAGTTGACCTCACCCGAACAAAAAGTATACCATTCGACGCGCCTGAGCCAGGCGAACACGATGGTGCCAAAATCGCTGCTCTGCGGCCATTTGTTGCGAAATTATTTGCCAAAAACCAAACCCTGCCTTGGGCTTTTTGACTTCACCTCAGAGGTTACCGGTTGACCTGGGACCTTAAAATCGGGTAGCAATCGTTCCGCCTTGAAACGGCGCACACGCTCGTTTTTTCCGCGAGGCTCTAGCTCCATTAGGGGCAAAACTGCAAAAAGGGGTCGTACCAACCCTCCCTCCTCGTCCGGCCGAGGGGGTGGGGGTCCAACAATAGGTCCGGCGAGGGTTAAGCAGCCCCACTTCGTTTTTAGCATGTTTGCTTGTCACTGAGATCAACAACTCAATCACAAATAATTTCTAGCACTTTTCCGGACCCCCGGCCCAGTGTGCGGTGGCCGGGGCCAAGGAAAGTCACACAGAGAAAGGAAACTCGGAGGACGTAGTAACCTCCCCAGTTCTCGCAGCCTTTCCTATGTAGCTCGTTTTTTCTTCATAAGCTCAACTGAGGTCAGGTGAGTCACGTGTCGTCGGTTCGATACGCGGAATCATCTCCGCCGAAAAACCTCTTATCCTGGGCGGCTTTGACCTGACCGGTCAACAGCCGAAGTTGATCTCTGCCAAAAAATATCTGATTTGTCTATGTAGGTACAATACATGCCCGGAATGAAAAACAATGCTGCTAAAATAGCGGCACTGTGCCAGTTTTTAATTAACATGTTCACCAAAACCCGGATCCTACCTTTGGCATTTGACGACCCCGAAGCCCAGAGGTCACCGGTGCGCGTGAAACCTTAAAATTGGGCACCAGTCGCTGTCTCTTGTAACGGCGTATACGCTTGTTTCCGCAAAGTTCCAGCTCTCTAAGGGGGTCATGCGTGCAGGGGTTCCATCATCCTCCCGCTTGGCCGGGAGAATGTCAGAATGAGGAGACCGGCGAGGCAAAATGACATTGAAAATGAGATGTTTTCAATGTTCTACCTACACCTAATGTAGCCCTGATTAGTGGGAGGGGAAAATGTGCCGGTTTATGTTTATTCTTTCTGCTAAAATAAATTTTTGTCGAGGTCGGAGATAGCATATGAAAGTTGGGTATTGGGCTGAAACGACAGTCACGCAGTCAAGAAATCGCTTTCGAGAGCCTCTGCAATCAGAAAGGTCTTCGCATGCGATTGTTTGGCTGCTGAAGATCTGTTATATCTGAATCTGTCCCGCACGCAAGGGTGTCTATGTCCTCGAAAATCCCACTTTCCCGTCGTGTGCTAGGGCTGATCTGGGGCCTTGATCTTGGTTTGGGTTCCAACAAGCACAGTGTATATAAATATATAGCCGGGCCGCCCCCACTGAACTTTATAATGCTTACCGGCTAAGCCGGTAAGCATTATAAAGTTCAGTGCCGGAAAGGTTCCGGTCTATTTGTTTAGTTGCATTTTTGTTCGGGAACATACAATTTTCAAACGCTGCAGCTAATTTGCCGTTTCCTTGAACCTACGTTCTCTGCTTCTTCTGATGATGCAGCTGCTACTATTGCGGCGCTGTTCGATGCCGTTTGAATGCTTTGGCTTTCACTTCTCATTGGTTGAAATCGCATGGTCCGTGAGATCTACCAATAGGAAGTCAGGAATCGTCGAGACAGCATGCTAATAAATCCGGTGACTGAACAGCGCCGGCGTGCGAGGCCGCCCGCGTGTGCGCGCTGTGGACTTTGGAGTTTGGGGATTTTGTGCATGTTGGTGGTGTTTGAGTTGAATGGTTAAAATCAGTGTGAGTATTGTTAAGTTTTCATGTGGTATCTGTTAAAATATAGACATTAGCCCAGTTAACATAGCATTTTTGACGAGGCTCTAGCTCATTTACCTACCTATTTTGCAATAATTTCGATGCAGTTATCTGGATACTTCAGTTGTGGAAACTAAGAGACGAAGATCCAAAAATTGATTGGTCAATAAATAGACTTTTGATGACCATATATGCCATATGGGCATAAATGCAGCCCTTGCTACTATGGAAGAAAAACGGTATAACGTGCCGGTACTTGCGGTATCACGTCCACTTAATCGGAGAGAAAAGGCTTCCATTTTCCACTATGAATTAACTCGATTTGATTAAATTTGGCAAATTCACTAGAAAATGGCGATAGGAAAACGGCTTCTGCGGGTTCTGGGCGTCACAACCAGCTGGCCATTCCATAAATGGATTGGCGTTTTGAAAGAAAATTGTTTAAAGATTTAATTTTATTTGAATAAATGTAGATATTTAATTCTAAAATAATAATGTAACCAAAATTGGAAAAATCAAACAAAATGATATAAATAATGACATTTTCAAACCATGGTGCTGCTTACATTTTTTGGCGTGTCTGTTTCAATCCGCCATATTTGCATATTTGGCAAGGGGGTCCAACAGACCCTCTCCCCTCTATATGTTCGCGGCGGGCAAAACAACCTATACAGGCGAGGGTTAAGATTTGGAAATGTCAATATCTTTATTCAATTTGTGTTACTGGATGGTTCTTAATTGCATTTTATGGCCAATCTTCCCTTCTCTTGTATGCCAACACAAAATTTCTGTTCAATGCACAAAGTAAAAACTTTGCCGCCTGATCGTGATCTTCCTAGCTAAGGTCAAATGCTTGCAACAGGTTTGAGTAGGTACCTACCTACCGTTAAAGTGCCACAAGGCACAAAGCTCTTGATGGCCTCATGCAGGCTTTGAAGGAATGCCACAGAGGACAAAGAATGGATAAACTTTTGTGGAAAAGAAGGGCAAGTCAGCTTTTTCCTGTTGGCTTATAAAATGGAGAGCTCACTAAATTGACCTGGCCTTAGGTCACCAGAGTTGACAAATTCAAGATTTAAAAAATGTAGATAGTAGCCTACAGTAAACTGAAAGTTTCAGTTCGCTCATCCACAACCCTGACTGCTGTGAGACTGCAACATTTTTCTGAGGCTGGGTCACTTCAAGTTACTTAGTGACCTGACCTGACATGACCCCACCTTGGAATTTTAGCACGAGCTAATGAAATGATGCCCTAACAGGAATGCATGATTGTTTCTGAGCTATTGAAAAAACTTGGAGGAACAAAAACATAAACTTGAGGAAAAGGCGTAAAATGCCACGACCCCAGCACTGTGTGGCCTAGCATTACCACATTGCTGATTCTTTGTGATCAGCATATAAGCTAATAATCAATACCGTAAAATGAGGTGTTAAGGGACAGTTTTGAGGTGTTTTGTTATATAACTCAAGAAGGGTTGGAGATACAAGCATCAACTTGTCAGCATTTTATGTGGAATTTGGTGCTTTACATGCCTGATACATTAATGTTTTAAAAATATATACATGCATATTATTTTTTAATATTTTTCATCACTGTCCCTTAGCACCCCAATGTGGGGTGTTAAGGGACACATATATTATTCCAAGAAATGGTCATCAAATGCCCACAATTGGGGTGTGAAAGGGCACACAATTTATTTATTGAAACATTTTGCATATTCTGTCACAAAACAAGTCAGGTTCATTCACCACTAATGGCCTTTTTAGCCAATTACATGTAATGCAGTATACGCTTCTGGAAAATGTGCTAATTATAAGGTAAACAGAACCAAAAAGTACCCTGTCATCAACAAACACCCATTTTGAAGCTAGTCACTTGTCATTATGTTGCCCTCTTTGTTTTGGCCTTTTTATGATGACATCACATTTACCTACGTCAGTCTTCATTGACCCACCATTGTAAAAGAGTGTTATGGAAGTTTTGAGGTGTTTTGTTATATAACTTAAGATGTGTTAGAGATGAAAGCATGAACTTGCCAGCATTTTATGTGGAATTTGTTGTTTTCCATGCCTACTGAAAGAAAACTTAATGAAATTATATTTAGATATTACTTTCTATTTTTTCTTCCCTGTCCCTTAGCGCCCCACATCCACCTCAAAATATGCATGTGTCCAGAAAAGAGGAAGAGGATGATGAATAAATGGGTGGATTTGTATAAGTTTTTTCAGGAAACATGTGCAATACATGTGACAATACACCTATGCATTCATTTTACCTGTACACCTTCTAGTTTATGTGGTACACACAGAGTTTTGGAGATGTCTCAATTTTGTGAAAATGTAGCATGATTTTCAAAACCATTTTTGAACCAAATCATTTGCATGAAAAACCATGCCATGTTGTCCTATAGTCAAGAACAAAACAGTGTCAACTACCATACTCAAGTTTTTATTAAACATTCTCAAATAAGGAACTTAACATGACACAAAGTTTTTCCCACGCAACTGTCCCTTATCACCCCACTGTCCCTTAACACCCCATTTTACGGTAACCTACATGCATGTGCTGCGTCCGCAGTGTTTGTGAGGGCTGAGCAGCTCGATCACAATGGAAGAGGAACCGGCTACGACGGACGAGCTGTCGGCGCAGGCCTCGTTCGAGCACGACCTTCTGTCCAGGCTGCAGGAGTGCCTGTCTACCAGGAAAAAACACGTGGTCTACTCGAAAGTCATCATTAAATGGGAGGAGGTGAGCAGATTGGAATGCGAGCGTAAACTTTCTACCATCAATATAATCGCCAATAGAATTATGTTTAAAAACGTTTGCATTGACAGCAGAGCATTACATTTTATTGCCTACTTCGTTACTGTCCGATTGGGAAAATGCGGAGAATGGGTAGAGTTACGTTTACGAGTTCTTAAGTGAGTGTGCCCATGACGTGTGTGTCCAGTACTTGAACTCGTTATCCAGGAGTTCACTCCGTCTCTGTGTGTGCCGGACAGGTGGCGTTCGACGGCCACTCGGCCGAGGAGTGTCACAAGTGCTGGCTCAACATCCAGTCTCGGCTGCGACTGCAGCGCACCATCGGAGAGCTGATTGACGACGCGCAGGCGGCGCGCTGGGACCCCAGCCGGCTGCGCAAGGCCATCATGGTGGGAATGGCACATGGGGCGGCGCTCGCGGACGTTTGGGTCGGCGTCTCAGATACATTGGGGAGACGCGTAAACTGGTAGCAACTATTTCGTTATACAACTCACGTGGTTTCCAAAATCTTACTCAGTCTTCTTTGGCAATGAGCGGTGATAATGCCTTTTTTGCCATCTACGAACAAAATACGGTACATACAGAAAATTCGTGATAACTTTCAACCAGGCTCGTATTATGTCAGGCCATCGCTAATATAAAGTTGCAAAGTAAGACTGGATAGACTATTTGAAGCTTTCTTGCAAGATTATGAGATGAGATGCTACGCGCATTCTGGCGTCGTAACCGGGAGGTTCGGGCCACCCACCCCCGGGTGATCCTAAATCAATGAAATGATGCTTTCACTGAATAGCCTCTTCAATAAGTTTTATTTTTGTCGCAATTATTTGTCTTATTTCATGAAACACGATTTTAGAGTTACCAAAATACACATGTGCCCAATTGCCTCCATGAAGTAAGCTGTTGGCCGCTTATGCGGGACCTTGGCTCTGAGAGAGATCAATGTAGATACCTTCCAGCTACGAGTATTGTTCTCAATGTCGGGAAAAGAATATGGCACCGGCCCATACCTCCCGGGCCATGGCCCATACCTCCCGGTGTATTTTGATTGATCGAAAAAGCGCATGATTTATTTTAAGTTATCTCGAGACAAAATAATTGATCACAGATGCCTAATATCAGGCACACTTTACAGGCGAAAGGCAATGTCACGTACACAGAGTGAAAAACCATGTCTAGCCACTACCCAATAGAAGAAAATTGCCTTTTCACAAAACCGGCTCATACCTCCCGGGTCTCTCCTACTATGATTGACGTGGCATGTCGGAGGCTTTCGGTCAAAGTTTAAAATTAGAGATGTTTTTTGATGTCATTAATCAATAATTAATTAATATCCATCTTTCCTCAGGTCCAGCGGAGTAAGGAAGGCGCACCAAAACGTCCTGGGAACGCGTACTATTTCTTCACAAAGAAGATGCGCCCCAAGCTAGCGAAGAAGTATCCTGGACTTGGATTGACGGAGATGAGTTCAAAGCTATCGCAGCGGTACGCGTCCTTGTCGGCCGAGAAGAAGCAGGTGTTCGCTGATCAGGCGGCTGAGGCTTTGGCTCAATACAAGAAAGAGCTAAAAGAGTTCGAACGAAACCATCCCGAGCTGACCCTAGAGAGTGCCGACGGGCCCAAGAGGCCGCCACGCGCCCTAGAGCTGTTCATTCGTGCGCGAGCCGCCCATTTGCCGCGGGCTGAAGCGCTAGCGGCGTATAGAGCGCTTCCCGCCGAGGAACGAAAGGCCTACAGCGTCGAGGCGGATCAGCTGCACGAACAATATGTGGCAGAAGCCCAGGCGTACAAGGAACAGTACCCCGGCTGGGAAATTCCCGCCTCCGCTCGACGGAAGCCCGCCAAGAAGCGACAGCCGCGAAACGCCTTCAATGTGTTTGTACAAGAGACTTACCCGACGGTGGACCCGTCGCTGTCCAACGCCAAGCGTCTCAGGATCTGCTCCGAGATGTGGCACGAGGCGGACGCCAAAACGAAGGCACGCTGCCAGAAAATGGCGGAGGAGGAGCGAGAGGATTATCTGGAGTACGTCAACTCGCTGCCCGAGGAGGAACAGGCTGACGTTCGAGCCAAAATGGCTCCGCGGGCCAAGACAACGGCACGCTCGAGGATGATAAAGAAATTGGCTGGCCGCGTGAAGAGGCTCAGCGCCAGGACCCTGTTTATGAGGGAGAAGATGCCGTCAGAAACGGACGGTATGCTGAGCCAGGAAGAGTGGCGGAGGATCCTGGCTCGGAAGTTCAAGCAGCTGAGCGATGCAGACAAGGTAGGTGATGGTTTCCTTTGTCGATGATTTTGCATCAAATTGCGATTGATTGGAATCAATTCAGTTCGCTTTTTTCTATCGTTATATCAGAAACTTTTCTCTGTATAGAACATTATTTCTTGCAGTTCAAGACACTGGTTTTTAGTATAACGGATTTAGAACTATACACAGATGTTAATTATCTATTAACCCTCGCCTTGGCAGGCGGGGTCGATGCGACCCCCCCTAAGGTTTTTCGAAGATAGCGTAAAAACGGCGGCGCGCAGCGCCGCCAAATTTGGCACAGCCTATGGGGCAACCTTTTTACATATGACTTCAAAATTTCAGGCCCGGATGACCTTGGGTCGGGTCACCAGGTCAGAAAAACCGGTACAAGGTCATGGTGAAATTTCAATTTTCTTTATGCACCTGTCCAACTCACAGTTTTGGACTGATTTCCTTCAAACTTGTGGATGTGCTAAGTTCACCGAGTTGTATAACATATAGTTCGTTTTTTATGTCACAGACCTGAGGTCAGTTAGAGGCCATTACGTCGTAATGTTAAGCCTATGTGAAAATATTCAAATAGGAAAATATATCCGCTTCGTTCTATCACTCTTGTGCTAGTTTGAAACCTCAGTACTTAACCCGCGCACCGACGGGGGTCTGCACCAACTTAGTACCGACGGGGGGGGGGCGGATGACCGCCCCCCCCCCCTGAGATCTCGAGAACGAAGCAAGATAGCGACAAGCGGTAAACGGCATCGGATACGCACGGTCAAGATCTACAATTTTTATTAAGGTCATTTTCAGGTCAGGTCAAAGATGACGTCACAGGGGTCGAAAAAGTCAAAATGGCGGCGCTAAATATGGAGAGAGTTTTTCTCGAATAACTTTCGAATTAGTCAAGATAGGAACAAACTAAGGGCATCATCGTGATCCTCTCGTCAATCCGCATCGAATGATATATATGTTGACCTCGAAAGGTCAAGGTCAAAGGTTGACCTCAGGTCACGTGACCTCGAGGTCATCATGTATATCATTCGATGCGTCTTGACGAGCTGAACACAATGAGACCATCCACGCGTCTGTATCTTGTTCCTGTACGGAGTTATTGGCCAAAAACCTTTGGTGACCTTTGATGACGTCACATGACCTCACAGCTGCCCAACAGCAAAACAGACCTCAAGGTAGTGAAGGTTGATCGTATATGAAGCCATGTATGGTATATGGGGCCATTCCGACCCGTTTTAGTGGTAAAAACAGGGAGTTGATTTTTCCCCCATTGACTTATAATGGGGAGGTCGCGAAATTGACCTGACCTTAGGTCACCGATATCAAAATTCCGAGATATACAAATTGTAGCTACTAATGACCTAATAACATCCTGCGACTTTCAAAGGCCTCCGACACCTACTGTAGCCCTGGCACGGTGACAAAGTTGCAAAAAAGTGACTTGAGGTTGGGTCATTCAAAGTGACCTGGTGACCTGACCTTAAAAGGTAGTAGGTTCAAACTTGCACACCATGTGTAAAATTGATAAGGGAATAGTCATACCAAATTTCGCGGCGCTACGCGCCGCGGTTTTCCCGCTATTCGCGAAAAACCTCAGGGGGGGGCGGATATCCGCCCCCCCCGTCGGTGCGCGGGTTAACATTATGTCACTTTTTGTTTGGTGTACTTATCCATGGGTCAGGTCAACTCAGGTCAACTGAGGTCAAATGACGTTTGTGCCAATAACTTGTCACATAATAAAGATACAGCCTTCAAAATGGTATTATTCTGTTTCTCTTGAAGAGCCGAGTCGAATGATATGCAACATTAAGCTATCGTCTATCGTAATTAGATCAAAAGTTATAAGCGAAAAAAACTTTAGGCCTGTTTTTAGCGAAATTTTAACATTTATACCCCCCCCCCAAAAAAAAGCCCCTAAATATTGATCTAGAGCAACCAAATTTGCACAGGGGCGAGAACTCCATGGGGCCCACCTACCTACCAAATTTGGTGGTTCTAGGTGCCATAGGAGCCAATCGCGAGGGGGGGTGTCGCATCGACCCCCCCCCCCCCCTGCCAGGCCGTGTTATGAAAAATGCCCTGCCAGGGCGAGGGTTAATTTGGAAATTAATTGTTTATTTACATGAGACGCACCATTCTAAAAGCTTCATTGTATTCAGTTTCGGATATAGCAATATTCGTATGCTTACATTGCCAGACGGGTAACTATATATATTAAACCGCGAGTAGGTAGAACAAATCTTTTAAACGTCGAGTCGATAGGCGCGACGTTTAAGAGATTTCTCTACCTACGAGCGGTTTAATAATTTTATCCCGTACCGCCGATATCTTTTGGGCGCTTAAAGGTAAGAAATGCGTTTTATATAAGAAAATGCGACATATTTCAAACTAGACGAAATGTCTACTAGGCGTTTAACAGTTTGCTAATCGTCTAGACTTTTAACAAATCAGTTTAACGACATTGATAATTTTCTCTCTTTACACGTGAAGCAATAATTGTAATCAATGTCTACGGTGCGGGATAATTACGGAGCGAGCGAAGCGAGCGGAGTCTTTCCTTAGATTAACGGAAATTTCTGAGTATGAGCGGCCGGCCGGCCGGCCGGCCGGCCGGCCGGCCGGCCGTGCGGACGCTTTTGCGAGGCTTATATCTCAGCAACCACTTGACCGATTTACACGCGGTAATTTTTGTAGGGTAGCTTCATTCCTTCTACCAAGTATTGGACTATTCCCGATGCATGTGGGTGACCCCTTATGCACGTGCCACGTGCAAAACGAAGAGGTGTCAGTTTTGTAATTGTTGCAATATCTCGGTAACTACTTGGCCGATTGCGCTGAAAGTTGGCATGTAGGTAGGCACCCACTAGGCACTGCATATCCATGTGCCAGAGTTGGGGTGCTGCTGCACGTGCGCACGTGCAGGGGTCGTTTCCAGATCTCGAGAACGGCTGGACCGATGGCGCTCAAATTTGGTACACGGTTAGGGACCAGTTAGTAGGGTGCCGTGCACAAGTCAGTTGGGACCCATTTTGCACGTGCGCACGTGCAGGGTGCCGCTCCCAGATCTCGAGAACGGCTGGGCCGATTGTGCTCAAATTTGGCACATCGCTAGAAACCGGTCAGTAGGGTGCCGTGCACAAGTCAGTTGGAGGTACCCCCTCGAAATTTCGCACGTGCAAGACTCACCCCCTCGCTCGCTCCGTTAGTCGCCCCAAAAGGCGTTATACTGGTTTATAGGTATGAAGGTCGGACATGCATGAAACGAGCTCTTTTCGTTAAAAGTTGCAAGAAAGCATAGTTTCCAGTTCAACTGACTTGTGCACGGCACCCTACTAACCGGTCTCTAGCGATGTGCCAAATTTGAGCACAATCGGCCCAGCCATTCTCGAGATCTGGAAGCGGCACCCTGCACGTGCGCACGTGCAAAATGGGTCCCGACTGGCTTTTGCACGGCACCCTACTAACCGGTCCCTAACTGTGTACCAAATTTGAGCGCAATCGGTCCAGCCGTTCTCGAGATCTGGAAACGACCCCTGCACGTGCGCACGTGCAGCAGCACCCCAACTCTGGCACATGGATATGCAGTGCCTAGTGGGTGCCTACCTACTTGCCAACTTTCAGCGCAATCGGCCAAGTAGTTACCGAAATATTGCAACAATTGCAAAACTGACACCTCTTCGTTTTGCACGTGGCACGTGCATAAGGGGTCACTCACATGCATCGGGAATAGTCCAATACTTGGTAGAAGGAATGAAGCTACCCTATAAAAATTACCGCGTGTAAATCGGTCAAGTGGTTGCTGAGATATAAGCCTCGCAAAAGCGTCCGCACGGCCGGCCGGCCGGCCGGCCGGCCGGCCGGCCGGCCGCTCATACTCAGAAATTTCCGTTATTCTACGTAAGACTCCGCTCGCTTCGCTCGCTCCGTAATTAGTCACCCATCTGCTGATGCTCTTTTGTGTCTTGCCTATTCCCGTTAATAAATATCGATTCCATATTTCTAGGTGAGATGCGTGTCATTGACCACCCTGCACCCAATTAACCCAGGGATGGTTACGTGCTCAAACCACCGCTAATGATAAATGCGTGAAGAATCATTGACCTTTTCCTCGAAAATGTAAAAACAATGCAAAAAGTTATTTTTATATTTATATTTACATTGTTGTTACATTTTCGAGGAAAATGTCAATGATTCTTCACTTATTTATTCTCGCTATGTTCCTCGCCAAAGCACTTCACACCACTAATTTCACCGCTAATGATGTCCAACAGGAGGAGTACGCACAGAGAGCCAGAGCTTTGACAAAAGAGGCGCGGGAAAAGGCTATCACCGAGCTGATTGAACAGGGCGAGGAGCTAGCTGAGCACAACGCAGGGGGAGAAGAGGAAGAAGAGGAGGGACAAGAGGAGGAGGATGAGGAGACACCGATAGCAGCCACAGTAAGTCATATTGTCCAGGAATTGTCAGCTTTGGTTTTTTTTGGTCTTCAGATGATACTCAGATAACGTGTTTAAATACTTTATTGCTAGTTACTTACGTAGATAACCAGACGAAATCTGCTAAGCCCACTTGCCTGATGCCTCCAAATAAATTTTCACAACTGCACGTATGAAAAACATGACAATTGACGGGCAATGTTAACTCGCGCCGGGCCGGGGGGGGGGGGGGTGTTTGAACACCGCCCCCTGCGGTTTTTCAAAAACGGCGGCGCTGTTCATGCATCTTTTTCCCACATGTTGTGAAAATTTCAGACCCAGGGCTCTCAAGGTCAGGTCACCAGGTCAGGTCAAGTGACCTCACCTCGGAAAAAGTTTCAATCCTCGTCATAGCTACACCGACTGAGCGATCGCCTTGAAACTTTCAGCGATTGATAATAGTAACAGTATGTACAAAATGTATATCGCGGAATTTTGATATCAGTGACCTAAGGTCAGGTCAATTTTGCGACCTTTCCATTATTTGTCAATGGCAGAAATACTTTTGAGAAATACTTTTGACCTCTGAATGACCTCTCCTTGAAATTGTATGTAGGATATATTTTACAAAAAGTCAAATACAGAAATGATACAGATAATGATACAGATAAGAAGACTCAATGGCAGAAAATTGATGCGCCTCTTTTGGACGAATGGTATTCAAAACCCTCTCAAACATCGGCTCATAGGTAAACATGACACACTGAATCGGAAAAATGCATCTGTGACCCCTATGTGTGCTCCTGAGGTCATCTCAGGTCAGGAACGGTCACCAGCAGTTTTTTGGCTATAACTTTTGATAAAGACGTGCTAGAGCGATGAAAACACGTCAGATGTATTCAGCTCGATGATACGGATCGACTGATATGCAATATGACCCTTTCCGGTCAGGTCATGACCTTGACCTGAGGTCAACTTTTCCAAATGACCTTGCAAGGTCAACAAATAGTGCATTCGACGCGTCTCGAGTCTCGACGAGAGGAACACGATGCTGTCAAAAGTAATGTCGTAGCTCTCTTGAGTCAAAAGTTACTGACGTAAAACCATTTTCATGAAAACTGCTTTTTTACAGTTTTTGCCCTCTGGAGGCCAAACCGCTGACCTGAGGTCAAATCTGAGAACAATACCCAGAAAGGTCTGTAAAAGGGCTATCGAATGCGCTTTTCCGCGGCGCTGTAGCTCTATTGGTTCCCGAGTTAGCCGTTGGCAGTTTCCAAAATTGTTGAAATGGACTACATTTGACCTTTGATGACCTCTGGTGACCTGACCTTTGACCTCACCACCTGAGTGTGTTTAAATATCTGCAAACCGAGAAATTTTCGACAGATATTGTTGACTGTAAGTGGACCTCCTTTGCAGCCACCCAAGTCGAAGCGGCCGCGGGTACCTGCCACCAGCAACCAGAACGGTGACACCCCCAGAACGGTGATACCCCTAGAGAACGGGCCGACATCCAACGGGCTGCCGGAGTCGCCCGAGATTGGACGGAAGAAGGAAAAGGTGGGCCGCTCAAAAGGAGAGAGCTGAATCCTCGGGTGCTTTTTTTATTGGCTACATATTGTACATTGCATTAGTTTGCCTGCGTGGTTATTATTGGAATTTGTGGAGCATAATTATTGTAGCTGTCGATATGAAATTACGATCAGTTTAGGTGAGCGATAGCTCCTTTCTTGTTTCTGCGTTTTCTTTCTTACCGATGGCTTCTTTGTTCCCCTACGACATTGGTTTGCGAGTGTTATTAGACGATTCCTTCACCTGAACAAATGACTGTGTTTCTACTTCACATTTAGTTGACATTGATGTGTCGTTTTTCAGCGAAGCATGACTTCAGAAGACTACTCCACAGAAGGCTACTCCACAGCCGAGGACGGCAGCCCGAAGAAGAAAAAGAAGAAAAAGAAAAAGGAGGAAGCTGAACAAACTCCTGCCCAGAGTGTTCCGGAGGAAGAAACTCCGGCGCAGAGTGTTCCGGAGGAAGAAACTCCTGCTCAGAGTGTTCCGGAGGAAGAAACTCCTGCGCAGAGTGTTCCGGAGGAAATAGATAGCAAGTACGAACTTTCGGATAAGAAAATATTCGCCAGTTTACGTTTTAGTAGCTTACATTATCAATGGACAGCTTGAAATGGACAAATCAACGCAATTCTTGAACGACACGACCGCCATTCACATACCTATAGCTTATGTAACGGCTGTTTTGCACTGCTGGTCATATTTATAAACATACACTTTTAAGTGTTTTTTTTTCTGGTGAATAATGTTAGATTTAGCCATAGCCAACACCGTCCCACATTACGGTAGCCTTCAGTAACTTCTCTGCCTCGTATAGGGGCAGATCGCTGCGAGTGCTGTCTCGCGCCGCTATATTATGGATCCCACCATCCCCCTTTTCAGCGCCGTCTTCGAGTGGTTTGTGGAGAACTACCGACCGGCGTCTATGGAGACCCTGAAGCCGCACAAGCAGAGGAAAAAGGCGAAAAAGTAAGTGAGACTTTACTATGTCCGATAAAATACTTAACCGGCTTTGTAATATTTGTATTGCACATTGCTGGCATAAGCAATGATCTGATGTATGTTACGTTTGTTCTACATCTTGAGTTTTCTACGTGGCTTAGTGAAATACGGCCGCAGTATTGTGTCTGCCGCAAAAGTGTCTGTGCTTCTACGTTGAAATAGCTAAGAAGTTCTTGTTTTTATGTCTTTTCCTGCAATGCCTCCCTTTTACAGGGCGCACCTTCCCCTTATCTCCCCCCCCCCACACACACACACACACACCACTGCTGGCTCGCCCAGCCCGGCTTTCTCGCCCGCATGCAGTCGGTGTCTCCATTCTTAGTCTATCTTTTCGCTCGACAGGGCCTGGAACGAGCTGACGGACCACCAGCGGCGGGTGACTGTGCGCAAATACAGGAAGCAGCTGCTGGCGGGACAACTCTAGAGTCGGCCGCAGCGCAGGCACAATGCCACAGCACAGCTCAGACGTCTAGATCCGGTCTGGCTGCCATGACTCAGAGTCGCTGTGGGATCGGAGTCACAGCCCTAACAGAGTCGCAGTGGGGTCAGACTCATAGACTCAGTCACTGTGGGATCGGAGTCACAGCCTCATCAGAGTAGCGGTGGGGTCCGATCGACCCAGCCACAGTGTCTGTGTGGTAATTTGACATGCTCTCCGCCTGGGATACCCGGTCGGAGTGAGGTGCCGGGATATCAAATGACAAACTTTGGTGAGCGATGATCCGGCCGTGTCAGCCCCGGCGGATGGACGAATTTGTTGATGTAGTTTGGAGGGCTGAATGGTGATTGGTCTGGGCTGAGCGGTGGCGTCTGCCCTGTCATGGGTTGCCTTGAACGTGTGACATGCCTTGGGACTGTCATGATGGGTCTCATCAACTTGGCACCTTCTAGGCTGCGTGCCTGGGTCAGACAGCTTGACCCCACTGCCATTGGGAAGGGCGAGTTGGGCCCCGACAGGCCCTAACTGCTAGGGCCTGTAGTCTGCACGGTGACATAGCGCTCATCGCGGTCATTGATTCGTGTGCTATCACCGTCATCAGGCGTTGTCGAGTTTTCAGTCGTGTGCGTCGTCATCCACAGCCTTAGGGGACATGCAGGTTGCAGGGGTCACCCCCCATTAGGGGACTGACGGTGTCGTGCGTCAATTTGTGAAGTTTGTGCAAAATGAGCGTTTGCGTGGACCAAGCGGCATTCTGAACTGGGAAGTGGCTCGTTCTGTTTGGGAGAGATGAGGGAGCGAACGTTCTGATGAGTGAGTTTTAGTGGGTGATGTTCGGCCGGCACCTGTTCGTGTTGGATGGTGCGTGCTCCTGGCCTGGTGTTTGGATGACTTGTTTGGGCGATAGATATAAGGTTTGTGTCGGGGCGTTCGCTCGCGGAACCTGTACTGTTGAGCGATGAGCGCGACTGTTTTCATATCGCAGACGGAGTAAAACTGTTGGATTTTCTGGCGTGATCGACTATGCCGCGTTGTGCTTTTTGGAATACAAAACGGTTGAAGAAGAAATATTATCTTAGGTTTGTCGTAAATGTTGAAATGAAGCACTCTTAGGTTGAAGCTGATGAGCGAACGTAGCTGGATCGTGGGTATGTTGATTTTTGTCGTGGTTATTTTGTTTGTTTTGTTGGGTTAGGCCCTTTCGGTCTGACAAGACCATTGCAGAGCCGGAAGGATGATAGGAATTAGGGGGAGACATTGGTCTGGGCAGGCACCCTAGTGAGTCGCCGGGGCTGAGCCCGTCCAGAGGACAGGCCACCCAGCCCCAAGGCACTCACTGCACCCGGCTACGGGGTGCGCTCCCTCGGGAGCAGCGGTGCCGCTCCAAGGGAGCAGCCCGCATGAGATAAAGTTGCCTGTCCAGCCCGGAGGAGGGTTGCGGCGTGGAGGAGAAGGATTTCAGTATCCTGAGGATAGAAGCACGGAACGGTGATCGTGGTTAGTCATCGGTGTCGAGATCATTAGTCATTAATATGACTTTATGTAGTGCCCTGCGTACATCAAGCCGAGCGGGAGAATGTGTTAGTGTTCGATTCACCAGTAGCAGCGGAGCACCTTCAATTAAGGGGGGGGGGGCACTGCCGACTTTTGGTCCCATTCTTTCCATGCAACGCCCATAGGGCTAATGTTAACGGTGCTCGGGGGGGGGGGGGGGCACGGTGCCCCGGTGCCCTCCCCGTTCCGCCGCTTATGCGCTTCACGCCAGCTGACTGCATACGAAACGAGTCAAGAAGTTTCGTGCGTGAAGTTGCTACATGCAGCATTGATACATGTGTGCAAAAATGCGTAGTGTAATATCCCAGTTGAGAGAGTGTTCTATTCAGTGTATCAATAGATAAGAATTCGTCAATCGGTATGAATGCCGGTTGGCGAGCTTATCGGCCACCCTGGCTTCCGCAGCGCCATCTGTGCCAGGTGTCAGCACTGTCGCTCGCCCCAGGCGGTGAATGATCCGCCATCTTCGCCTTTTCCTTCCGCCTGCAACCTCGTCCAATCAGAGACGCGCTGCGGCAATGCATGCATTGCACTGAAAGAAGAAATTCACTTTTTTGCTATGCATTGGGCGTGTTGCACGTGAGCACGTGCGGTGAAGGTAAGGTTCTGTGATTGTTGATAACCGCGAATATTGAAGTCTGAAATTGTTTAACTCGGTATTTTTTTAGCTTCCATGTTTGCTGCACCCTTTTTTGTCGTGGCCGAGGTCATGGCGACCCAAAATGGCGGAAATTATGTGCATGTTACATGTTGATGTGAACTTAAATTAAAATCTGATTGTTATTTGCTTGTTTTTGACATTTTCAATTTTAAGTGAATTAGGAATGAGTTTCTTTTTTTCAAAGTCGTTTGGGTTGCATTGTCCAATCATTTTGGGAGAGTGTCAACCATTATGACCAGACATTTTTGGTAAGGGTGAGTAGCAGCTTGGATCTTGCGTCCAACATGACAAGAGTGAGACGATGAAAATCCATAATAGGTGTTGAGATCTACTTATGGGTTTTTATTTTTTATCTTCATACTTCAGCACACATTTATTTGAAGATATGCTGCATTTTATGACCCATATTTTTGGTAAATGTCAAGATGGACCTAAACTTACATATATCATATTTTTTACTCCCTTTTTGACATTTTCTTTGATATAAGGTGAAGTTGAAGGCATGCCCTTTTGCTTAGTCATGATTGTGGCATAAATGCTTATCCTGTAGAATCAATGGCATATAGGTACAGGTACCCACCATTTTTTTAAATAGAACCACTGATATTTTTGCTGGGTTTTCATTTTTAATTTTAGGTCTTTTTGCTATCCATTTCTGCTGTGCTAATCCAAAAATGATTTTGCCTGGGTGACCCAGCCGAGACTGCAAACTGCAAAGCATGGCACATACATGCCTGAGGTGCGCCTAGTTTGATGGGACTGCACGCCTGGAAACTAGGAGTGCATGCCTGGGTCCATAATTTGCACACCAAACAAAACTAGTGTGAAAAATCAGGACCCGAAAACACCCTAGAGAAGACTCATCTGCTTCACTTCAAGAAAATCTAATTATCTAGCAGGTCCTGATTTTCCTGACAAATAGGTCATTGACCTGGCCCAGAAGGTCAGCCAATGATCTATGATCTCAAAATCGGTTAGCATTTGCTTCCTCTTGTCACGAGCAATATACCCTCGTTTTTTCGCGAGGCTCTTTCTCGATCAAGGGACGAGCGGCTGGGAGGGGGTCCGACTGAAATGAAGTCAACCGTCCAACAGAAGTTCCTCCACCCGCCCCCTGATTATGTAAGCCACTGTGAAAATGCCTGAATTAGTGGCAATGACCGCTGCGGCACTAGTGGTCTGTCATACTCGTACATTAAATCCCAATAAACAGCGCTGAGGGCTCTCACAATTGCGCGGTAGTTGCGTAGACGTGCGTCGGCGGATTTCGCTTTTGTTTCATTAGCAGGCTTTGAGTGAGAGCTCTCCAGGCATGTACAGTGTGCACCCTGACAGTGGCGGCGGAAGGTATTTTGGGATGGGGGGGCACACCTGATCCTTCCCGGAACCTAGGGTACCCCCAAATCTAGTTTTCTCACCGGTTTTAGGCCACTTATTTTTCACCTCTTGGCCTTTACAACAAAAATAAAAAATAAAACATTTGCAAATAAGTGAGATAATTAGTCTCATCTGTGTCAAGAAACTACCTTTTTGGTAACCTGGAATAAACGTTTAAAGCTTCCACACATGAGCTGTCAAGTCAGGTACGTACAGAGGGGGATTTTTTTACTTAAATAGGTATTGTCTTCCATTCAGCTTTTCTTTGAGGCCCTCGGCCGCTAATATGGGGAGGACAAGCTGCCCCGACGGTTCCTGGCCCTTTGAAACTTTGCGGGGGCAGAGACCCCCACGGCCCCAGAGTTGTGGGGGCAGGCTGCCCCCATGCTGCCCCCCGGCTCACGCGCCTATGCCGGCTGGCGTCTGGCAGAGTCGCGGGGAAAGGCCTGTGGCACGCTCAGACGCACTTTCGTGACGTCCGTGCCGGGTTACTCGCGTTCCGTCCTACTCTTCCAGACTTCGGTTACCGGTAGCTCGTAGATAGCTCTGCTTGATTTCTGAGCATTATGTGTGGAGGGCGTTTGGTGGAAATAGTCCGTCACGGACTAGCTCGCCGGATAGCCCGTCGTGAAAACGGCTATTATCAATCCAAGTTACTCGCTATATCAACTTAATAAAAAGGTACTCAGCCAAACTGGCATATGTTCCTGACGTAGGTAGTATGGAAGTATTGTGGTACTTCGTCGATAACAATTTTGGGGGGGCAAAAAGATATGTTTGCCCCCCCACCCTGGAAGATGGGGGGGCGCCGTGCCCCCGCTGCCCCCCCGCTTCCGCCGCCACTGCACCCTGATTCATTATTTGACGCCTGCACGCCTGGGCATGCTGTGCACGCCTAAGATTTGTAATTTACAGCCCTCTGTAAACTGCGTGGTAGGTATTCTTTCTTCGACAAAACGAGAACAACGCGGATACTATGCTATCGGTCGCTCGGAAATCGTAACCGCAAGATGCGCGAGACTCCGCACCTTAGATTGGCATTACCATCGCATTCATTTTCCACCTAGTTTGGCAACAAAACCCAAAAGTTTATATATGCCCCCAAAACAAACTTTTGCATTTTGTTGCCACACAAGGCATATATTTTGTTTAGTGATATACCCAATCGAAGGAGTAGAGCATGGCGCCTCTATTTTCAGTGAGTTCCGACCGACTGACAACATAGTCTTTGAGTTATTACTGGTTTTGTCGAAAAAAGAATACCTACCACCAGGGGGGTTCGCTCCCGTGCCTTCAGCATTACGAAAAATGGAAACAACCCGTGAGCAGCATCAGCGCTCACGCACATGTTCAAGGAAAACAACGTGTAATGGACTGCTAACGACGGCCCTCTCCACCAATCAGCGTTCGGCATCTCGAGCGCTGATTGGCTGGTAGCAAACGCGTCATATGTGGGTCTCATTTTTTGCGATCAGTGAACGCGTTATTTAATACACAGTGGCCTATGGAGAATGGCACGCGGAATTGAAGGTCAGTGTTTTATTGCTTCGTACATGCGAATGGGGGTATTTGAGTGGCATTTGACACCATTTTCGAAATCTTCAGTGAATTTCTGATCGACTCATGTATATATTTTTATGAATTTAACAGTATTAGTGCTACATAGTCGGTATTTTATGTTGGTGTTGTTTCTCTTGACCTTTGTCTTGGACTTTTATCATATCTTTTCTCGAAAATGCTTGCCATAACCAGGTCTAAACTGTATCTGTATAAAGGGAATATGTGTTGAATATGAGGAGAAAGTAGTAATGACCATTCTGCCTCTCAAACTGCCAGAAGGTGTGCTTGTAAGGTGATTGAAACTGCAGTACGGGTTGCAGATGTGGGTTTGACATTAGCATTGTTGTTGTAACCCCACTTGCTCTAATAAAATGGCAACATGGGGTTATGTACCCACTATTGCACAGCCTGGTATCAAGCTGATTGATATGTGGAGGATAATGAAAGCATAAAAACTTTTCTTAAGTGAATAGGAATGTTGCATCTTGTGACTTATGTCAAGTCATTTAATGATTGTGATTGTAACTTTTACTTTAATTATTATTGCTAGTTTTTACCTTTTTAATCATCAAGTTTTATGGGTACCAATTTCATATGCCTGTGTAATGTCTGTGCGGCTTTGTGCAGTGTGCGTGTCTTGAAACAAACCAATTTATTTTGTACCTTTTTGTACTTCAACAAATGTATGTGAAAGGACAAAAATGTCATGTCTATTATCATTGACACTACATCAGCTAACTTTGCCTATATTCCTATCTTTCAGAGGCATTCAATTCAATCTGCTTTCCAGTGCAGTACCTAGGAGGCTGCAACTGAAACTCTCACAAAGGCAATCAAGTGTCACTCATCAGCCTACAGCAACAGCCCATCTGTAATCAAGATATGGATGAAGTGGAATAGAAGAACAACCAGTTCAAACATGAAAAGATGTATTTTGTTTTGGACTATTTCTTAGCATAACAGAACAGCACACTTGCTGCTTTTTATGTTTGCCCTGTGTGCAGTTTTGAATAATTTTAACTATGAAATGCTTTTGCCAACTCTTCTCTTTACATACGCTTCCTTTGTCATGCATGTGTAATTTTGAGTTTACACAGATGATGTAGGCATGTTTCCCCTGGCTTCATAAAACTACTTGCAAGCTTTTGTTATGGACATTGGTGCTACCTATATATGATGCTTCAGATGTGTCCAGTAGTTGATGAAGGAAGGAGAGGAGTAGGACAGCTGATAGCTATTACCAAAAATATGTGCTTGTCTGCACTTCGGGCTGTTCCATCATATGCAACTTCTATTTACTTTCTTGAGTTGTTAGAAACACCTGATCTTTTGGCGCCCATTCTTTCCGTAGTGTTATAAACGTCAAGTTTGAAGTTGGTATCCAAGTGAGCAAAATTTGCATTATTTCAGTCCGTCTTGAATCATTCGTCTTGAATTATATCCCTAACTGACATCCTGTTATTTGTCCTGCAATGTCTGTGCCTGTGTCCGCCCTTACCTCCGGCTCCAGCCTCCAACCAGCCCTGCTGAGTGCTGAGCTCTGTCGCCGGCGCGGTGTGTCGCAACGTGCTGTTTCTCCACTCCAGCCGACAGCTGCTAGGAATCGTCCTGTGCCATGCGCTATGCGACACAGCAATTGTAAGATGCAGGTCACATTCGGACTGATTGGCTCCGCGTATGTGCATCCGGCCGGGTGCTAGTCGATATCAGGGACGTGGGTCGGACTGTTGTGGCGGCGTGCACTGTGCTGGTTGAAGTTGTATTTCTGTTAGTGAAAAGCATTAATACATAACCGTGGCCGCAGCCCGCTGTTATTGTGGATTTCAGAGGGAGTGGCCAGTCAGGAGGGCCCCATGGGGCCCTCCTGGCCCTCCATACCCACATGCATGTGGGTATGGATCCAGTGTCCAGTGGGATCGGCTAAGATTTCCGGCGATTGATAAACGCTTCTATGATAGTAAACCTAGTCCTACTGAGTTATGAGGGGAGGTCACGTGAGGGGCCTGACCTTACTAAACTCTTGTGAAAACACAACACATACGAACGGTAAGAAACCGACAGCTCTTCTTTCTGCCAAGTGTCATCTTTCTGTGAAGGATTTCTTGGCACTGAGTGTTCAGAAATTGCGTTGTTTTTGGACTGTGTAGAGGCTCACGAGCGACAGTATAGGTCAACAACCTGATGTACCTTAAATATGCGACCTGTACCAGAAGATCCAGCTTGATCAAAAGATTGGACATGTCAAATTTCAGCTCTTTAGCTCAAAAGAATTTTGAGCTATCGTAAAAACCGTCAGTGTGGCACCATATTGCCTTCCCGCGCGGTCGGAAGGTAAAAGTTCGCCGGCTCTAACTAAACAAATAGTCGTATCGCAAATTCATTGACGGCGTTCGAAGCGTCGTTCAATTTACTTTCGAAACATATCCTAACATTAACATTTAACTGCCTAGCGCAATCTACAACAAGCAAAAGTTCCGTGCATTCATCCTCATACAGTGTTAGCGGCCGCCGGCCGCCGGCCGCTGACCCACATTCGCGTCATCAGGGAATGCCGCAACTAATTTATTGTTTCCAACTTTTTTCCCGGAGCGTTCTACCTGGTTTATATAGCCTTGCCTACCACGCAGTCTGCTGAGGACTGTACGCCTGAATAAGGCTAGTAGAGCACGCCCGAGAGCTCGTCGAAACCTGCCAGGCTTTGCAGTCTGGTGGGTGACCTCAGCTGGCCTTTTTTTTCGAGCCCAGGCACTCGCCACCGAAGTCCAATGCTCTGGCCAGAGTTACGTGACGGAGAAGTTTATCGGTACTGAATTATGTTAAAGTTTTAACCTGAGTCACAACAACCTAACTTTTTAATCCCACCTCTCACGTTCATCTTCGGAAGGGGCTGCTACATTAGAAACTGTGTTTGCTTGTAGCCTGTAACAGTTACTAACCCGCATTGTCTGTCACCTGTGTGGCAGGGTCGCCATGACCGAGCAGCGCTTCTGCCTGCGGTGGAACCACCACCAGACCACACTCATCAACGTGTTTGACTCGCTACTCAAGGACGAGAGCCTGGTGGACGTGACGCTGTACGCCGAGGGACGGCCCGTCAAGGCGCACAAGGTTGTCCTCTCAGCATGCAGCCAGTACTTCAAAGTGAGTATGTGGAGGGCTTTTGTACCTTGCAGACTTACTGTGATTATACAGTGTTTGTGGGACCAATTAGGCAATATCTGCCTAACATAATATTGGAAAAATGCATTTTGGTCTCTGCAATGTAAGCAATATGTGTTGGTGATTAATAGTGCTATCAATGTGATGGTTCAGCGCAAAAATGCATCCTTAGTTGGCATACAAGTGTGTACTTAGTTCGCCGTTGACTTGAGGCATCCCAAACCTTGACGAGCTCTGAGCGCCAGTGAATCGTCTTCCTTCTTCGGCTTGTTTCTGACTGCTTATTTCTTGCTGCAGGCCATCTTTTCTGCCCACACCGAGTCTCACCCGGTGATAATCATCAACAATGTGCTGCACAGCGAGCTGCGCGCGCTGGTCGACTACATGTACCGCGGCGAGGTGAACGTGTGCCAGGACCAGCTCTCCTCCTTCATCAAGGCGGCCGAGTCGCTCAAGATCAAGGGTCTGGCGGACGGCAGTGAGCGCCGTGCGCCGGTGTCCGCGCCGCCCTCGCCGCCGCCGCCGCCACCGGTGCCGTTCCAAACGGTACCGGCACGCCCGGCCAGCCCTCGCTCCGTGCGCGACTCACCGGTGCCGATACCGCTGACCGGGCAGCCGAACGGACGCGTCTCGCCGCCGCCGGCCAAGCGGCCGCGGCCGGCCTCTGTGGACGGCGCTCCGCCGGCGGGCGCCGCGCTCTGGGAGCCGGCGGCGCGGCCGGCCAGCGCTGAGGAGCGCTCCGAGACGGCGCGCTCGCCGGGCTCGGGCGCCGGCCTGCCGCGGATCCCTGCCACCATCACCCCGCTGTCCGCCGGCCGGCCCGCCGAGCAGCCCTCTCCGCCGCCGGTCGGCGCGCCGCCACTGCCGCCGCCACCGCCGCAGCCGACCGCCGCCGAGCCGGAGCCGCCGGCGGTGATGAAGGAGGAACACCACGACAACAGCCACATGAAGGACGAGGGGGCCGAGGATAACGAGAGCGACCCAGAGACGGACGGGGTGGACGGAGGTGACCCGGGGCCGTCGGGTCACAGTCTGCCGCAGACGCCGCCGCACCCTGCAGCGATGCCGCCAGGTAGGCACGCAGCTAGCTGAGCGCGATGGGGTGTGGTGCGCGGGGAATCAGGGAATGCTGGGACCCTCTCTTTGGGTGGCAACTGATGAGTGTGTGAGGGAGTGGGACTGCTTGATGCCGTATGGACTCCGAATGGATTTCGATCAGGGGCCTGCCTTATCCTAGGAAATGTACGGCTCTTCGAAATCGATGTTCAATAGGCTGGCTTTTTGGGATATCGATTCGATATCGATTTTGGGATATCGATTCAGCTTGTTCACAAGCTGCATTTCCTTATTCCTAAGTAGTCGCACTGCACGGAATCGTGCTAGTCCACTGAATATTTCCTGCCTGCTTCGGATGCCTATTTTTCCATGTCCACATTCGATTTCGCATTGGTCACCCATGTCCTCCCCTTTTCATAGTCCGCCGTGCACCGGTGTCCTCAACACCGCCCTCCCATGGTGAGCGGACCCGTGTTCTTTATTCATCTCCATCTGTCCCCGTGTCGGGAGGAGCCGGCGGACCCGAAATACCATCCCCGCGCGCCGCGTGTAATGTGGGCCGCGCGGGCAAACCGGTTTCCAGGCGGTCCGAGGACGAGGTCGTCCCCTCACGCGCCGGCGGTGATTTTATTAGAGGACGCCGGCCACGCCTGGATGACTCTGAACTACATGGCTGGGTATTTAAATGGCGTTTTAGAAGTTTTTTTTTTTGTTCTACCCTTAGTTTCCAAAACATCGATAATGGTGGATGTCGTATTGTTACCACATCTGAGACAAAACATATTTACATTGTGCTAAAATTAACATCTCACTCGGTCGAAAGACTGGATGACCAATGACCATTCAACCCTGCACTTTGCTTCATTGTGTTGATGTATGTATAATACGATCGCGACACTTTGCTGTTGTAATGCGCTTGCCAGGATTTCAGACACTGACAACCTACCTTTATATTTGGGCTTTGCACAACGTGTGGCTCAGGCCTCAGGAGGTGCTAGAAAACAAACGATGCTATAATAACTGAGGTTATTTCGGCCCAGCTTCAAATATAAACGAACAATTTGTGTTTAGTACGGTCGCATATTGTACTCAAACTTTAGACGCCTTGCTTCACAATGTTTCTTCATATCTGAACATGTCATGCTCAGATCCGGATGTATTTCATCTAGATATCAAACATCAAAGCGTTTTTCTCGGAACGACATACGGTTTTGTGTGCACAGTAAGCTCCACTTTCCAACGGTATGTCTGACAGTGGGAATCTGCCTTTTGAAAACAAGGGCTCTGTCCTTACAAAATCAACTGAAGGCGCGCATCTTCAGTAGAAAGTATGTGTTTTTTAGCTAAACTTTGAATTTTGCTAGTTAAAGCCTGTCAATTTGACTGAAAGCTTCCCTCCCTTCCATATTCAATCGTTCATCAATGGTTCGATTACCGACACTGACCCCACTACCACCCTTTGCTCCTCTTTCGTCAACCCACACCGCCCCTCCGTCTCCTCCAAGCGTCGTTTGCGTGATTGTGCATCTGTGGCTCGACTCGCTTCCCGGTACCGTCGTCTATCTTATCAGTTGTCACGCTGCATGGCGTCACGGTTGACGGCGTGCCGTTCGCAGCGCTCTATCGGTCGGAGCGCGTGGCCCGCCCGCTATCGCAGGTTTCATCTCCTGGGCGCCGCGGGCTGACCTGCCGGCCGGGCTGCGGTGTCGGGTGGAGAGGCACAGCGGTCTGTCTCCTGGCACCGCTGCCAGGGTGGACGGTAAAAATGACATTGGAGGCAGGTGGATGTATCTTATGGAGGTCGAGCGTGACGACCTTAGATGCATTGGTTCTATCGTCTGGGATGTGGCTGGTTTCGAGACCTTTGGAGCTCAAACTAACGTTTGTCCAGCTAACATGTCAAAATTAACTAACTTTTCAAAGCTGTCCCGTGCTTTGACTGTAAAATGCAGGACCTATAGACCACGTTTTGACTGTTTCATTCAAGATTCCGTACCTATTGGACGGTGAAGTAGTAACTAGTAGTTGGTGTTCGCATGCCGGATTGCTGGCGTCCTTCACCGCCCCATGACCGCGTTCCACCCTCCCCTCCCCTCCCTGCCCTCCCTTGCCGGGCCAGGCCGTGACCGGGGACTTTGCGGGCCTTCAGCGGCGCCGCCGTCCGCCGGTGATCAGCCCTCGGCTCCGTCCGCCCGCCCGTCCGTCGACGGCGGCTTTCTCACGGACACACGGGGCTAATTAGATGCACCGGCACGGCCCCCAAATCCACGGCCATAGGCCGGCGGTGATTCATGTGAAGGACACGGAGAGGGAGGATGCGTGAGAAGGGCGGGGGGAAGGGGATTGGTGAGACGATGCTTGAGGGAGAGAGAGAGAGAGCGAGGAGGGACCTAAAAAGGGAGAGGGTGTATTGGCCATTGGCCGCGCATCTTCCCCGCACGCTCTTAAGATTTCAGATTTCGGAATGATGCATATTCTGCGGGAAGGACGTAAAGTGGACGGTGTTTGGACGGGGCGTGTAGGTAGGTGCAAAAAGGAGTGTGCGGGTCACTCAATACAGCTGCTGCCATTGCCAGGTCTGCTGCAGAATCTCGCATTGTCTGCCAGCCGTGTGAATATGACGTTTTGGTTTTTAGTTTGCCTTAGTGTGTCTTTCTGAACACTTGCTCTACTCTTAGCCTTAAATTTTCGACTTATTTTTACTCATAGTGAGAGGGGCGGCTACCCATATTTTTACTCATAGTTCGTTGATAATTGTCCCGCTGAATATTGGAATGTCATTTGACCTGTGCCGCCTCTATGCCTAAAAAATCGTTTTCTTTAGATATCGCCACCTGGCTGACTGCTTTGAGTGCTTTGCGTAGCCCACGAAGCAGAAACATCAGCGTCCTCATTAAGATATGCGGCATTGAACTTCACCTCAATTGGCTTGGCCTCTCATTATGAAGCTCATCAGTGAGTCGCCTCCGGATACGGCACGGCACCTCCCCCCCCCCCCCATTGTCTGTGCGCGTCCCTCCCCGGACTGACGGCTGCCCTCGTCCCCGGCAGGGTTCCTGAACTGGCCGCTGGGCGGCGCTGACGGCGCCGAGGGACCGTTCGGCGGCGGCGTGGCTACCTCTGAGGCCGGCACTCCGCAAGGTAGCGTCCTGGCACCGGCACACACCGGCACTGCATGGCTCTCACTGTTCACACACGCGCACAGACACACAGTGGCTGCCTCCCCCGGCACCGGCACGCCGATATGGCAACACACACAGCACCGAGGTGGCACTGCAATTTGGCATCACGGGGCTGATACTGAAACGGTCCGCCCGCGTTAGCTCCAGGTGGGCTGTTGACTTGTAGCGTCAGCTGGTGTTTTTTTATCGTTTACAGATGAAGTTGACACAACATATATTTTGTTGTGCCTAGAATTATCGCGCCAACAGGACCCAAATAATATCGATAACTTTCTGAGCTACATTATCATAAAGGATTTTTCAAGTGCACCTTTTTGCGCTAATCTGAGTCCTTTAGGCTACCGAGCAGCGTAAAATCTTTGGAGAAATTAATTGAACCATCAGAAATCCGTCTTATTTGCCCGTCTGATTCGCTTGTTCATTGGGCTTACTTTACTAGTTTTGTAGTTATTCCCGCTTTTGAATCACGTAATTTTGCAAAGAACAGGTTCTCGCTGCATATACTTCGTCGTATTCCAGTTGTTTTCATGTATGGGTCGAAATGAAGCTGCTTATTGATTGACCTTCGGTTCTTACGACTAGCCATTTGGCGCCTGTTACTTTGAAGTACCTAGTTTCTGAAATTTATCGCTCACTTTACGTCGTTCATTTAGCTCACAAACATTTGCATATACCATAGAGCGATGCGACCTCACAAGTTTATTCGATCCAGTTTATCCAGCTCATTACGGCAACGCTTCTTTAAAGCCGACATATTGTGATCCTATGGGATGGCGGTACTGCTAATGTATTGTGTTCTCTGCAAGCACTATGGTACTTATCGCCAACCGCTGTCACTGAACTCTACCAATTAAACGGAGCTCACCGAAATGTTCATCCTTAGCCAATTGTTTTCCATCGAAAGCTAGTATCTACCACCACTTTAAAAGGGCACATGTGGGCGGATGTGTACGTTTCTGTTCGTTACGTTCCTGGGTCCCGCCCATACGACTGGCTGAGGCGCCGTCCCCTAACCGCCCCCGTCCACCTAACCGGCCCGACCCGCTCCACTGACCCGCACGAGCACCGGGGGTCGCCGGCACTGGGCCCGGCTCTGGGAACGGAACGCCTCTGGGACGGTGGCTGCCCGCTCGTGTCTGTACCGACCCCGGGAAGCTCACCGCCCTCTCCGGAACTCACTGGGCTCGTTGGGACTCCCCGGTCACTGTCTGTGACAGCTGGTGTGGTGAGCGGCGCGCGGCGGCGGCCGGGCGGGTGCGTGCACCTCTGGCCGGGCTGGAGCGGCGCCCTCGCCTCCCCGTCCGCCCGTCCGTCTTGTCCGTGTGCGTGTCTGTGTACGTGCGTGTGCGTGTCGTTACAGGTGCCGTGTGCGCTCCCCGCGGTGTTCGCGAGTTGTTGGCGCGGCGGCCGGCGGCGGCGGCCGTGCGGGAGTGGGTGGCCGGCATGCTGCCCCGGCTGCCGCCCCCGCCCCCGCCCCCGCCGGCGCCGCTGCCGACGCCCTCCCAGCTGCCGGTGAGCTGTGAACGCTGCGGACGCGCCTATGCCACCACGTCGTCCCTGAACCGACACCTGCGCTACGAGTGTGGCCAGCCGCCCCAGTTCGCGTGCCCCGTCTGCATGATGCCCTTCAAGCACAAGCACAATATGCGTACCCACGTGCGCGTGCATCACGGCAGCCTGTTGTGAGGACCGCGGGCGGCCCGCCCGGAGGATGGACTAGGCCGGGTCGGGCTGAGCCGAGAGGACGGCGAAAGAATGAGAGAGTGAGAAAGACAAGTGGAGTGCAAAGAAGTGACTGAGCAAGTGTGGCAGACGTGTAATGAGCTCTCCTGAGTGCCGACATTCTTACAGCGAAGAGTGCGGAGTGCAGGGTAGCATTGGGATCTCGTCACCTAATTGTCCTGACCTACGGAGGAGCTGCCACGCCGCAGTCGCAGTGGGACCACGACAGGCGGCGGCGGCCGCGCCGCGCCGCGCCGCAGAGCTCAAGGTGCATCCCCGTGTGCGCTCCGCCGGCGTCCGCTGTGCGCTTTCCGCCCGGCCCGCCCGCTCGCCCAGCACGCCGCGCCGGGGACCTGTCGCATGCCTATCGCCTGCCTGCCTGCAGCAATGCATGTCTGCTTGTCTGTCTGTCTGCCTACGCATGAGCATGCTGCCTGCCGGTTCCCCGCCCGCCCCGCCCCGCCCTCACCCTGCCTCTCCGCAGCTAGCTGGCTCTGACCGCGTCCTTCCTGAGAATTGACGTAACCCGCATCAGCTACTGCCTCAGAGTAGTCAGCCTCTGCCTAGATAGGCGGCCTAGATACTATGCCATTGCCGCGCTGTTAGTTTTCGTAGAAGCAGGTTTTGACATTTTGCGAGTGGATCGAATTCGCTGAGCTGAAGAGGTGTGCTCTATGCATTTCATTTACACTACACTTTTGAATAGACCCTGCCTGACATTTGATGTACAATATTGAGCTGTTCATTCTTGTGTTGATTTGTTTTGACTTACCATTATGGCGATATAAATGTTCGTACAATCCATCAGCTCTCATTACTTTGTTGACCATTTACCATCCGTTTCATTCAGTCGTTCCCATTGATGTTGTTTGACTGTTGCCCGCCGATGTTGTGCCTCGCCTGCGCCTGCTTACGTGTCGTGTCGGGTGTGCCGTGCTGTTGCAGACGCGTACATCCAGCAGGCGCTGTTCCGCCGGCTGCTCGAGCAGCGCCGCTACGAGCAGCTGATGGCTCGCGCGCCGCCGCCGCCGCCGCCGCCGGGCGCCGGCCTGGGCCCGTCGCCGGGCCCCATCCCGGGCCTGGTGCGCGGCCTCAGCCTGCCGCCCATGCTGCGGCCGGGCATGGTCAGCTCGCCGGCGCGCCAGTACAACTGCGAGCGCTGCGGCCGACAATACACCTCCAGCGGCAACCTGAAGCGGCATGTCAAATACGAGTGCGGCGTCGAGCCCCAGTTCCAGTGCCCCGTCTGCAAGAAGAAGTTCCAGCACCGGCACTCGGTCAAGATCCACGTGGTGTCCACGCACAAATCGGAGAATCCGGAGCTGATCCGCGAGTATTTGACGTAGCGCGCCGCGCCGCCGGCCGCGTGCTGAACGGAGATCGGGTAACAGTTGGCTCAGAGGAGCCTCTCAGGTACACAGGGCTGCCCCGCACCCCGTGCTCTTAGCTCAGGAATAACGACTCAGGACTATAACTACAAACGGATGCCAGCACTTGTTTTGCCTTCATTGTGTTTGAGGTAGTGCGTGCGATGTGGTGGACTAAGAGATCGCCTTATAGATAGGAAGTGCAGCTTGTACTTATTTTTGGAAGGACGAGAGATGTACTAGTGTAGAATGGTGAAAGTGCGAACATATCTTCATGCTATGCAGAGTTTCTGACTGCCTTTGCTTGTGCAGCTGTCTGAAATCAGGTAATTCGTGTATAGCGTTAATACCTACATGCTAGTTATAAAGTAGTCTTGGGACTCGTCTCTTTTGAGAACTGATGAACTGTATCCTTGTCAAGCGTTGATTTCTGTTGTCATGATACAATAGTGGGTATAATGATCACCGAAGTTCCTTTGCTCTATTCTCGCATGTGTATCAACGAATTATGAATCAGCAAATGGCGACAGATGGCAGTCATTGCCTTCTGAGATTAACCCATCTTGTCCGAAGCAGTTATTTGCGTACGCCTTTACGTGCTTAGGCTACTCAGGGATCCTCGATGGCAGCTGCAGTTCCGTAGTTGTTTGATTTGTACTCGCCCTTCCTCACCCAGGCATCGATCGGTCGTTCGGGCTATCAGCCCATCACCTGTCGTTGCCCAAGCTTTGGAAGAAGCGATGTTTTCGGTATGGCGCTATATTTACTTGGAGCGGGTAGTTTTTTTTTTTTTTTGCATCGCCTTGCGTGTGGATACATACGTGTTTGTATATAGGATCGCCAGGCGGCATTGTTGAACAAATCAAAACGTGACTCAGGATTGTACTCAGGAATCATGTCGACCACAGTATGTTTGTGTGCGTGTGTGAGTGTGTGAGCCGTCGCTGGCCTGTGTCTCTGACGGAGTTGCGTGTTTGATCTAGATCGGTCGCCGGACCGTGTGTCGTGCGCGGTATGAGGGATCCGACTGTGCTGTTGTGCCCCTGCTCTGTGGTCCAGGGTGACGCTCGTACAAGGATTGGTGCCTAACTCGGCTGGGAAACACTCTGCCGAAGGGGTGTGCGTAAATCAAAACGGCGAGCCGAGAGCCGAGCGCTGACGATTGTTTCGGACGGCGACCGCTCGGCTGGCTTCCAGCTGCAGTGTCTGACTAGACGCTGTGACCACCAAATTATGTTTCTATGACGGGTCTTGCAGTTATTGCTGATTCGTCAGGCATGTTTTGCGGATAGGTTCGTCTTCGGGTACCGATTATCTTGATTACTTTCGATATTGCCTGAGGTATATGATGCATATTTTGCCAGTCTGCGTTTTGGATCGTTTTGCGCTCTGCGATGCCACTGGGCGTAGGGTGCCGTGAGTTACGTCCCGTTTGCGCGCGCGACTGGAAGGATCATGGTGCTGAAATTGAGCCGTCTGCGTCGCTGTCAGTGCGGACGCCGTCTTCCATTTTCTGACCGCTGGTGGTGGGGACTGTCAATGCGCCTTGTGAATCGACTATAGCCTGGACGGACAATACAGATTGACTTCTATGATGGATCTTTTTTAGGGTTAAGGGATTGATGGGGGCATGATTTGCCGAAGACGGGAGTACTGGGAGATACGGGATTTAATGATGTGGCGTGAAAATCAGCAACTCCGTCGCGGAAACATATGATTATTTTCGGTGAGAAGCAAAAGAGACCTCTGGTAGGGCAGCAAGAGAGAGTCGTGGGGTATACCCATTATGTTGTTTTCCAGCAATGAGGTTATCTCGTCGTTGTTCAATGTGCCGATATTTTTATGCGAGTTATGATCGGTGATCGTCACGTAATTTAGCCGTCACAATAACGTTTCAGTCGTAAGTCGTGTCAGGTAATTGCTGATGAGCCTCGCCATCTCGATCAAGTTACTACCTGTTTGATTTTCTGTTCCTTTTCCGCCGTTTCTCCTGTGCATACAACCGTCGCCCGTCCGTTTCAGGGTGGCTGGTAGTTCCGGCACTGGCCGCCGCACGGCGCCACGGTCGCTCGTCGGCCGGCTCCGGCGGCACGGGGTTCTCCTGTCCCCAATGTGGCCGCCAGTTTCGATGGAAGTCGAACCTCTCGCGGCACCTGCGACTCGAGTGCGGCGTCGAGCGCAAGTTCCAGTGCCGCCACTGTCAGTACCGGTTCGTGCACAAGCACCATTTGGAGAGTCACGTGAACAAGCGACACGGCGAGGGCGCTCCTGCGGTGCTGGACAGCGATGTGGCCCAGTTGGCGGAGATGCTAGGAGAGTGAGGGATGAAGGTGTAAGAGGGGCTAATGAGACGGGCTGGGGATTTGCTGATGACACGAGGATGATTTCTGGGAGTGGGATAGTGCATTATTGAAGAGTGAACAGTGTATTGTTTACGTATGCGAGAGCCGCTTGGATGTTGTGTGTTTTACTCAATGGTTAGTGATGAAAGTGTGTTCATCAAATCTCCAGTAGTTGCCTCCGAGTATGACTTGGAGGCGTTTTGTAGCAATATCGCGTTTATAAATGTGAGACTGCACGCTGTACGGACGCCCTTCTAAAGGTGGCTAGATTATCCGGAAAGTTTTGAAGTGTAACTACAAACCTTTGACCTTTAGTTTTCTCTCGATGCTACTGCTTTGTTTTCGCAGCGTTCGATGATTTACCGACTCAAAGTCAGAAAATCTCGTTCTCATCACTTCTCCGAGTCAGAAAGTTACTTTCATCGAGTCAGAAACTCGATAGAACGACTTTTTAACAAAGTGAGAACTGCAATGAACATAGGTACAATGCTTCCTGTGACACGTCTAGCTATTCCCATGACCCCGTGCTAGCGCATAATGAATTGCCACAATCAGCTACTGCGAATGATCGACAGCTGCCGCCATCTTCATTTGACTTTTTATGAATTGGCTTTGTGTCACAGTCCAGTCTGTCTTGTTTGTCAAGCTCACAACCATGTTTATGAATAGTTCGCTACCGTTTAAACTTCCTGTTTCCGTATTGTGCCGTATATAGGTAATAGGTATTCTGAATATGCTGTCAGGTAGGGTGCCTAACGCAAAGGTCATTACGCAAGTGTCAGTTAAACAAAGAGCAGCGCTCGAATACCTTGAAAACGTCGGCATGTGCATTGTGCACCCACTATGTTGTGCCAAATTTAGCCAAAGCTACTGTCATGTCACACCCATAAAATGTGCCAAATATTTTGTCATGAAATGTGCAATTACGTTTTGCGTGCATTGTTAGCGACTCAGTTGTGATGAACTGATTGATTTTGATATTTTCAGTTGGATAATGTTAGGTATGTTATTGTTCTGTTGTGATTTGCATTTTGCTCACATTTAAATTGTTTATTCAATTGCTGAAGGCTTATATCTATATTTTTGTTGCGTAATTTACCTTGCGCATTGTGCAATAGTTATGCATATCTTTCAGGTAATTAACGACGTTCCATGTTTTCGTTGCGCGATCATGTTTGCTGGTTAAAGGGACCCTCCCACCTTCAAAAAAGTTAATGAATTGGCAAGAAAGTGATGTCGCTAGGTTCAGAAAGAGCGAAAACCAATATCTACCAAATTTCATCGAAAAATATTCACCGGTTTTCAAGATATTAGACTTTTGCTTATGTTTACTTTTTGGGATCTCCGCTGTTCCTAGCGACTTTATTTAAAAGTGCGGCATTTGTTGCGCGCAACGCAGCATATACCACCGCGTGCTACAAAACGTTTTAGTCAAACATTTAAAAATCGTTAGATATCTGCGCTGACGTCTACACATTCAGAGGGGTATACCTATGCATTAGCCCCTCTGAATCAAAATGCTGCAATTTTGAAATTCAATATTTCCGATTTAAGGCATTTCTCGATGTTGTGAGTGCCGAAACTGGTAATTGTGAGCTAGGGACCCCATTTTGGCTATCTCAACTTAAATCTAAGGGTCCCTTTAATGCGGTTGCACTTATATTTACACACAGTCCAATTCAGCGTTCATTGTGTACAAATTAATCCTTATCTGTAACTGAGTCGACATCCGATGATCAGCAGCAAGTATTTCAACCTGGTATGTACGAGCTGCTGCTATCTGTGATTGTCTGACGCCACTGGCGTCAATGTTCTGTGATTGCGCTAGTCCATGGGACGTTATACATAATATACATGTGCATGTCACAACAATTGTGAATTGAACGTAGGGATCTGAGTTCCGACTGAACTTGACTGGGGTATAGTTCACTGGGAGTATGTGGCCATCTTAAACGCCTGATGGAGCGTGTATGATCTACGTCTTATTGATGTCTACGTCTACGCTCTGCAGGCCGTTCTACATGCATTCACCCTTGACCCAGTTCCTGATGTAGCGCGCCTTTCCGCGTCTGTCTGTCCATCCTCCCACGAGCCCCCCCCCCCCCCACCGTCACTCACACTCGTCCCGTCATGCCATGTGAACACTCCGTCACGGGGTCCGTCACGGGGCCCCGATCGACAGTCTGGGGAGTTGCCCGGCGCCGCACCGCCAAACAGTGCCGCGGCGGAAGGGCGGGCGGTAGGGTGCAGTGGGTTGGGGTGAACGGTCGGTGGCGGCCTAGTGACGGTGCAAGAGACAGGGGGCGGGTCACAAGAAACGAGCAGTGAGGCGCAAAGTTGGCGAGTCGACAAACGGTGGCAGTGCAGATGTAAAGTGTAGACTGTAGATTGGTCACTACCTACATAGTGAAAGATAGTCGCACTTGAGGGTGGTGAGACCAATATTCTTACAGATAGGTGAGACGAAATATGTCACTATAAAGAAAGTGAGATCTTCAATTGGCCGTATACCGTAGTGTCGTACTGTGCTACTGTGCTGTGTTCCACTGCCGTACCGTCTCCAGAACTGCCTTACCAGCTGCAGCCGGCACCAGTGTCATCCATCCTCGGCTAGTATCCGGAGGACGCCTGAAGCCGTGCCGGAGGACGCCTGAAGCCGTGCCGGAGGACGCCGGTCTCTGCGGAGTCGTCGCACAAGCTCCATAGCTCGGTAAGATGCCTATTGCCTGGTTCCATTCCAACGAAAGAAAGCAATTATCATCCACCGACCTTGGCTAGTCCTAAATATTGTCATCGGGGCTTTAGGGCAATCTTTCTGCAGTGTTCGTTGTGTGCCCGTGGTAATGCTGTATAACGTATAGGGGTTGTTATAAATAAAATATGCTGTTTTGTCTGTAACTGAGCCCAGTGACATTTTGTATTGGCTGGGTCAGCTGGGTCAGCACTCAGCTAGTCACGCACCGGGATCTTTACGCGGTTATCGATTCTACCAGCATGTGAGTGGTGACATTTCCAAATGTCAGTCGGTACTGCGATGTGCCATCACTTGTGTTCGTGGTATTCAGTGGATCCTGGACGTCACATTAATTACCGTCAATAATTAATGACGAAATGACGTCAGCATGGAGTGTCTGTGACGATGGATTTCCGCTACGATTAGTCGGTGTGACACTCGTAAAGCCGAAGGTAGGTAGGTATGTGGCTGAAAACTCTGACGATCTCCGATGCTTCTAAGAATGCTTCCCTTCCCCTGTTTTCATAATGTTAACCCCCGATGCCCTGTAAATACCTATTACGACGCTTGGCGATCTTTGTAATTTGACAGATGTACCGCCAAAAGAGCACATCCGACGTGGCACCACGTGATAACCCTGTCGACGATAGCCGCTATTTCAACTCATCCCCCTCCCTTCCCGCAGCCCGGCCTCTCCGATGGGGTCTGGGAGCAGCCGTACCGCCCGGGCCGCCACCGCCCGAGTCACTACCGCCCGTGTCACCACCGCCCGTGTCACCACCGCCCGTATAACCACCGCCCGGCCGGCCGCCGACCGCGCCCCCGGTGCCAGCGTCGACCTAACCCAGCCGCGCTCGGCGCGAGTCCGGTTCGCTACCGATGAGGCGGCGCTGGAGGAGGAGATACCCGACTGCGAGCTGGGCGTGAGTGGGGCTGGGAGGAGCTCAGAAATAATTTGAGATAGGTAAAATAAATGGTCAGTGGTTCCGTTGAATGGTGATTACGGAGCGAGCGAAGCGAGCGGAGTCTTACGTAGAATAACGGAAATTTCTGAGTATGAGCGGCCGGCCGGCCGTGCGGACGCTTTTGCGAAGCTTATATCTCAGCAACCACTTGACCGATTTACATGCGGTAATTTTTGTAGGGTAGCTTCATTCCTTCTACCAAGTATTGGACTATTCCCGATGCATGTGGGTGACCCCTTATGCACGTGCCACGTGCAAAACGAAGAGGTGTCACTTTTGTAATTGTTGCAATATCTCGGTAACTACTTGGCCGATTGCGCTGAAAGTTGGCATGTAGGTAGGCACCCACTAGGCACTGCATATCCATGTGCCAGAGTTGGGGTGCTGCTGCACGTGCGCACGTGCAGGGGTCGTTTACAGATCTCGAGCACGGCTGGACCGATGGCGCTCAAATTTGGTACACAGTTAGGGACCAGTTAGTAGGGTGCCGTGCACAAGTCAGTTGGGACCCATTTTGCACGTGCGCACGTGCAGGGTGCCGCTCCCAGATCTCGAGAACGGCTGGGCCGATTGTGCTCAAATTTGGCACATTGCTAGAAACCGGTCAGTAGGGTGCCGTGCACAAGTCAGTTGGAGGTACCCCCTCGAAATTTCGCACGTGCAAGACTCACCCCCTCGCTCGCTCCGTTAGTCGCCCCAAAAGGCGCTATACTGGTTATAGTTATCGTCTGTTGTCTGATGTCGTTTCGTGACATGTTCGAAGACTGGAAGTGCAAAGCCGGAAATGTATTGGGGAGGGGCGTTCGGTTTGACCGATTACGTAGGAAACGATTGGTGTTAAATTTATCTTCAAATAAGTCCCATTCATGCACGAGAAAGCCGAGTGCGGAATCAAAACATAATGCGGCTGATGATCGAAATCTTTCTCTTACACTATCGTCTCACATAAATACTAAGTAGGCCGACTCATCTGCAACTTAATTCAGCTTCTTTTCCCTCCCATCTTCTTCACCTTCCTATATCAATGTGCGACATCTTTCCCGCTACTTACAGGAGTCCCTGGACGGCTCGGACGCCGACCGACTGTTCTCCGAGCTGCGGGCGGCCTCAGCAGTCCCCTCCGCCCGCGAGGACAGCGGCCTGGGTCTCCTGGATGCCGCCTACAGCCACGTGATCACAGAGGCGTCGCCGGCGGAGCGGGTGGCTCAGGTGGAGCGCGACTTCGTGCCTCCGCTCAACCTCGGTACGGAAGGGGGTGGGCAGTAAGTGGGCCTGCAGGTAGACTGTGTTTGGACTAACGAACAGGGATAGGCATGTGGGAGGTAGATAAATATGCAGTTTTAATGCGTTTGATGATGTAATAGTTAACACTGGAGGGACTCTCTGTAAACGTCATGACGCTATGACGTTAAAGTTAGACGCTAGATGATAGTTTTTATTCACTCGCTCGCTCGCTCGCTCACTCGCTCACTCACTCACTCACTCACTCACTCACTCACTCACTCACTCACTCACTCACTCACTCGCTCGCTCACTCACTCACTCACTCACTCACTCACTCACCCATTCATTCATTCATTCATTAATTCACTCACTCACTCACTCACTCACTCACTCACTCACTCACTCACTCACTCACTCATTCATTCACTCACTCACCTACTCCCTCACCCACTCACTCTCTCACTCGCTTTAGTATCTCCCTCTCACTCCCTGTCGTGTTCGTGTTCCCCAGAGCTGGAGGTGGTGGGCCGCGCGGTGCCCCGCCTCCTCTCCGGCTACCAGAAGAACCGCCGCGAGGAACAGCAGGTGCTGCAGTCGCTCAGGGAGGAGGGTCTCATCGCCACACCGGCTGAGAGGGCCTCCAGTGGTGTCAGGTGAGGGCAGCTGCAGTCTTCAGCCGGTGGCAAGAAGCGGGGTTCTTAGGGCGAGGTCAGAGTACATGCTCTCCCAACCGGGATTTGGGAGAAGGTAGAAGTGGAATGTTTGAGAGGGTCTGATTGGCGCCTTCCTATTTGAGAAGCGGCATTGCGAACTGTGATTTTCCTTCATCCGTGTCTTTGAGGTGTTTTGTTGGCGGCAGTAGCCAGTAGGACATAATTCATGAACAGTTTACCTTGCTAACAGTCCCTCCCTTGCTCCTCTCCCTCCCATCGTTCAGTTTCGAGATCGTCTCGGCGTCGTCGGCGGTGTCGCTGTCGGGATCGACGCGGTGCGTGTCGGCGGCCCCGGCCACCCGACTGCCGTCGGCCACCCTGGATCGTCTGGAGGCGCGTCGCCATCGACACCGGCGCACTATGGAGCCCGAGACCGACCAGCTGGCCAAACAGCGACGGCGCAGGGTTAGTAGGGGAACACACGCAACTGGCGCACTACTTGGAGCCCGAGACCGACCAGCTGGCCAAACAGCGACGGCGCAGGGCTAGTAGAGGGGGAAGGACACGGCACCGGCGCACTATGGAGCCGGAGACCGACCAGCTGGCCAAACAGCGCCGGCGCAGGGTTAGTGAGGGATACGGAACTGACGCACTATGGGGGCCGGAGACCGATCAGCTGGCCAAACAGCGCCGGCGCAGGGTTAGTAGGGAGACACACGCAACTGGCGCACTTTGGATCCGGAGACCGATCAGCTGGCCAAAGAACGCCGGCACAGGGTTAGTAGGGGTCACACGCAACCGGCGCACTATGGGGCCGGAGACCGATCAGCTGGCCAAAGAACGCCGGCAGAGGGGAGTTGGGTGCACGCGCCTTTGCATGACGAGTTGGGGGGGGGGGGGGACGGATGGGGTGCGTGCTCGTTCCAAAGGGTGTGGGTGGAAATGGGACGAATATGAGTTATTCATTGCCGCCGTGTCGGGGCTCGGGAGTCGTCGAAAGGGCGTGTCATGCCAGGACGTAGCACGCATACACACGTGCAAAGAGTCATATTGCTGGGTGTATTGATTATCAAGTACCTCGTTATGACTGATTCACTACTCGTGACCCAGTTTGAACTAGCTGAATGTGCAAAGAAGTGTTAACGATTAATGCTGGCGAATCCGTCCATGTTTATACGCACGTAGTTTGTACAAGGTTTACCATGATACCTTTTCTTTCATTACGTCCGCACCGCATGCATGATGCAACACAGTCTATGACGTTCTCCGCTGGGCGCTGTCGGCGGTATCCGTCTGTCTGTTCATTTGTCCTGTGCCGGACACCGTCCATCTGTATGGTCGTTTGGCTATAACATTGCGTTTCTGCCTGGGTGATGGATCCCCTATAACGGCTGAATTTTGTTGTCTATGACTGCAATACCGTCAGTCTTTTCAGTTTTCCTGCGTTTACCGTTGTATCGATCGACTATTCAATATTAAGTATTCATGTCCATTGTGAAATACTGCTCACCCTTCTATCCGTCCACCGTTGTGCCACTGCTCGCCTTTTGACCTGTCCATTGCCTCACTACTGTCTATCCACCCGTCCACCGCTGTAACCACCGCGTCCCCCTCCAGGCCGCCGAGGAGGAGAAGGTGCGGAAGCTGCTGCTGAGGAAGCAGCAGGTGGAGCAGGGTCAGCAGCAGGTGGAGGAGCTCCACCAGCAGCTCTCCATCGAGCGGGAGGCCTCGCTGGAGCGGCGAGTCGGATCGGCCATGGACAAAAGGCGAGTCCGACTGTCCATGATACCCGGGTTAGTCGATTGACTGGAAACAGGATGTCCGGCAGAGTAAAGTTATCGCTTCAGCAGCGTATCATAAGCGACAGAACTCTGGAATGACGTTTCGGCTACCAGTTTGCGAATCATGCTGACTAATGACAGTGCTTTCCGTGCGAATACTTCACTGTTTCGTTTTATCCAATGCTCATATAATACTGTAGTTAAGACTCGATTAACATTGTATTGAAGGACCCTGGTGCTTTTCATATTCCCCTTTAATATCAATATTTATTCATCTGCAAGATTCATCACCATTCAGGGCATTCCCAGCATCGATAAGCCTGAGGTAACATTTTACTATGATATATGATTTCAAGCTTTTACGACTAGACATTTCAACTCAAGGTACGTTTTTCGGCTACTAGTCGTTTATTGTTTCCGTTTCGAATTTTCTAATTTTCGAATTTTCATGTTTCTTGACAACGACCTCGATGCGAAGGTCGAAAATTCGGAACGAAAACAATAAACGACTAGGTAGTAGCCGAAAAACGTACCTTGAATTAAACGTATAACCCAACTCCCACTCTAACACTCTGTGTCCGTATTACAGGCAGCGCCACCTGAACGAGCTGCGGCAGCGTCTGCGAGAGAAACACGACCGGGTGAAACAGGCGCCGCTGCGACGGGCGCAGGTCACCTAGTCTTAGGTCAGGAAAAGGGGCGGGATGGGAAGGTCTGCCGCTGAGACGGGCGCAGGTCACCTAGTCTTAGGTCAGGAAAAGGGGCGGGATGGGTAGGTCTGCCGCTGAGACGGGCGCAGGTCACCTAGTCTTAGGTCAGGAAATGGGGCGGGATGGCCGTAGGTCTGCGGCTGCGGCGGGTGCGGGTCACCTAGTCTTAGGTCAGGCAATGGGGCGGGATGGGTCGATCTGCGGCTGCGACGAGTGTAGACCGCATGGCGTTGAACACTGGTGACGGAGTAGAGCCGAGGAGAGGCTGGCACCTCTGCGACGTAATTACACGGGTCATATGACGTCGACCACTGCTGGAGTGTGGAGAGACCCCTGAGTCAAGCACGAAACCGGAAGGGCAGAAGGTTTAAGGACACGATCTTTTGCGGGATTTGGCAGTGCCGAATGGGGTTAATTGTTATTCAGTACGGCATGAGGACAGGAGGGACGAAGACGGTGCAAGGGGAAGGAGGACGACAGGAAGGAAGACACTGTCTGCAAGGAAGTCATGTGACAGGCCACTCTTTAATACTGAAACTATTTATTTTATTTGATATGATGACCAAGCTGTGTTTAACGACGGTAAATTTTTATTGTTACTGCTTCCCTTGCTAGTCAATGACAGTCGCTTGTGTGTTTGTGTTACTCACTTCTTCATTTGTGTTTGAGTCATCTATTTACTTTTGACTCCATACAATTTCATGGCATTGGGTAAAACACATCTAACTTTAATATGATCTCTCATTTAGATCTTGCGTAGTGCTTTGGTATGTGCTCGAAGATTACGCAGGTACATGCATTGTTTTCAGAGACTTTTCATATCGACCATGACGTCGCTAATCGTGACTAACAAATTTGTGATGAATGACAATAATAAAATATCTGATGAAACGACCTCTAAACTATTCCTCTGTGCTAGTCCGGAGACCGGAGATAGGCATTCCCAAAACCTTGTACCGCTACAACAACTCAAACGGCCGGCGATCACGTAATAGAGCCCAGCGTGACCTGACCCTGTGTCAGATACTGTCCGATCACGACAACGGACCATTTAAATCAAAACCCTTCAACACGGACTGAAGTTCCACTTCATTACATCCATTTCGCATGCGGTCTGTAACCCAAAGTCACGACACGTGGTTGACAACTGGAAAGGGATGGGAAGCTCTATAGATTTGCTTTAACAGTTCCACTTCGTGCAATTCAGAAAAGTGAAAACAGTGGCTACGTAAGCTTATGAAAAGAAACGCTGGTGCCTGTGGCAGGGAATGACGTTTTTATGTAGATTGTGATGTGTTTTATTTTTCACGGTGCCAGTCCATGCTGACTGCTAATGGCGCTGCCGCTGCATACCTAACCTATGTAGGTTCCGGACCTGGCCTTAGTTTTAATTGCTGGATTTAGTTTCTAGTTTAGTTTCTAGTTCTAGTTAGTTTAGTTTCTACAGCTAGGCCATCAAAGTCCCCGATGAAAACAGCGATTCATTCGTGCTCAAATACTAAATCGGGCCAACCGGTGGTAACGGAGCTCACATTTTAGCCAGAAACGCCACATGGACAGACTGTGTAAGTGTTATGTCGCTCGTATTATACACTCATTTATGCTACGATTAGTTCATCGTCTCAGTCCAGTTAATTGATAACCATCAATATTTCAAACAATTATCCAGAATCACAGAGGCAGCTATCCAGTTGCTCAGGATCAGGTGTTGAAGACGGCGCCCGAACAGTCTTGCAGCTTACGTTTACGGTTAATCCGTCTGGTATAGCAACAGGCGTTATCTTCTTTATTTTCTTTTCGTCACTCTATGGGTTTTTGACTGCCGTCTCAGGCCTCGGACTCCAGTTCCATCCTTCTTCCTCCCATTTCGGCTTCAATCTGTTCAGGAGTGCGCAGATCCACGGCAAACCGGGTCGTCTTCCCGGCCGGCTCTCGTTCGCTGTACGCCGCAAACGCCGCCGCCAGTGCGCACGTGAGGCGACGAGCCTCATCACGGCTCTGACAGGCGAACACGTGGCACACGAACGGACCACGTGCCGCGCGCTCCGGCACCACGATCGTGGCGAACAGGGTGCGGTGGACCATGTCCTGAACGCCGTACGAGATTCGCTCGATGGGGAACCGGCCAGGGCTGGAGGCTGGAGGCGTCGCCGTCTTCCCCCCGCCGCTGCTGTCGCCTGCAAGACTGATGCCTCCTGCTGACACCATGAGTCTTAGGGGCGGCAGGCGGCCTGCCGCACGCGCCGCAGCCACTGCAGAGTCGACGGGGCCGCGTGTGTGACGAATCCCCCACATGTGGTCGGTGAGCTGACAGCCCAGGTACTGGACAGAGAACGTCTGTGGCAGAGGCACCGTGGTAGACGACATGGCTGGGATGGAGGCTCGGAGGGCGCTCTGATGTCCTCCGAGAGATAGTTGGCTGGTTGAGTTTGGTGCGCCCGGGGCAGTTCCTCTTCAGTGGTTGTTTTGGCCCAGAGTAGTCGGAACTCCTGATCAGACCCAGGACGACGGTCGAAATCGTAGGATGGAGCTCTTTTACGAAATGTTGCTGCTAGATAAACTTGACCTCGGGAAAGTCTTCGTCATCAACACGCATATTTCTCCGACACACAACAGCACTTCTCTCCCTTCCCGGCTGGATAGTCTATGAGGAACGTCCCAGTAGACAGGTCACGACTCAAGTCGCCAACACGAGCCCTCCTACTCACTTCGCATCACACTCGCCAGCGCGGCGGCACTGCTCCTTTCACTCCAGCCGGCAGTCCGTGTTTCGTACCGTCACATCGTTGTCTCTGCCACTGCTAACAGGAGTCTACCACTTTCGTCCACCACTGCTAGTTGCCACTGTCGCCGCTGTCACTGCCGTCGTTGTTGCATCTACCGTTGCCGCTGCCGTCTGCCAGTTTTATGCAACAAACGCTGCTGCGCCGTCACTGTCGCGACTTTATCCACTGCCGCCTAACCGTCTTCTCCCTTTACCAGTGCCACCACCACTGCAGTACTCACTCCTGCCGCAGCCGCCACTGACAACACCACACCGCCGCCACCACTATACTGCCGCCGGCGGTGGGTGGCACCCCTGGCCGCGGGGCGTTTCCCTTGCCACCGTTTCCGGCGGCCCAGCTGATCGGCCGACCTCGCAGGGTGGGACCCACCACTCGGCCTTTGTCGAGACCGTTACACCGGCTGACCGGCCGCCCCCCTCCCCGCCCCTCCCCTCGGGTGATTATCCCCTCTCAACGGCAGCTTACAATGCACGGTGAGGTGTAAGAAAGTGTGGCACGCGGTGAAACGGCGGACGTGGATGACGTGCTCGAAAGTCGAAACTGTTGTTGGAGGGAATGCGGATTGGTGTTCACTTATCTGGCTGGGGGCGCTGAGCTACTCTGTTTCCCGTAGCCGAATCATTTTTTAACATAACTCCACGATATCGGACTATAAGACACATAATTTCTTATGCCATTTTCGGGGGCCGTGCCAACTGGAATCGTAAATAAATATTTTTTCAGATTAATTCAGACTAATGGACGTCAAGTCATTAAATCTGTCATTGCTAGTAAGTAGTAAGTATAGCTCCGCCCTTGCCGAGCCCTGGTATTAAATTAAGACAAACGTTTACCGCAGTGGCGTCTCAGGATAATGAATACATATATAATCTATTTCAAGAGTGGGTATCTATATTTCTAAAGTACAATACCTATACGCATGTATTTATACTCGTATTTACCGCGTCAATGCCGCACACGTATTATCTCATCTCTCTCCGTGTGATCCTGCTGCAGCTTGTTCACACGCTCCCAGATCTCCCTCCACCGTTAGCGGGTGCGCCGGGGACCTTCGGGGACATCCACCAATCACACCCTCCGATCACACGTCAGCTGGGTGGGAGCGGCAGCCGGCAGTGGTCGCCATGATCCTCCCACAACTCCCCCCCCCCCCCCAAAAAAAAATGCCGCCCACTGCCGCGCCGCTGCGATTGTCACCTGGTCCCGACGGCAGCTTTGGCTCTCTGACGGTGGTGGCAAGGTGCTTAGCCGTGTGGATTAGGGAGCGGGGATTAGGGGAGCGGCTGCAGCGCCGTCTGATCCCGGTAGGATCAGCCGTGAGCCGCTGCTATACGGTTGCTGGATGACCACGTGGGTGGATAAGCTGACCCAGATGCTTAGATGCGGAACGGGTACGGTGACAAACCGGCTCAAGTTTATTTTAATGCTAGGTTTGTTTCTGTTTTTTTCTTTTATTTATGCATTTCCTTTTCGTCATCGTCGTCATCATCATCATCATCATCATCATCATCATCATCATCATCATCATCATCATCATCATCATCATCATCATCATCATCATCATAATGTCGATGGCGGTTGGTGGCAGTGAAAATGGGTGGTGATACATGGACAATGGACATCAGTCACTGAGAGACGGCATCGTTAAGCGTTGGCTGCATGATGGTCTACCAGATTTTGTCTAATGCCGTTTCATTTTGTGAGCAGACAAATAAAATAGTAGCCACGATTTCACAAACAAGTTCAGATAGCTTCCATTTTACACGCATTAACGATGGTCAATACACACAGTCAGGTCATGGTCACGCCCGAATCTGTCCCCCATCCCCATCGCCCGCACCCACCACAACCTTCACCGCTGTGACCTGAGTAGCATGTTCACCCATCGATCGTCTGATCAGATCCACGTACTGCACCTCCTCCTCCTCCTCCCCCTTCCCCGTCCCGGGCCTGTCGAAACTCTGACCAAACGTCTCCAGCTGGCCGTTATGAACGCTGAACAGCTGCTCGGCCAGGATAGCCGTGTTCTTATCATCACGTTCTCTGGCAGCATCTTCAGCTTCGCCATCTCTCCGTTCGTTGTCGTCGGCAGCGGCGGGTGCCATGTTGAAGTTGACGTCGCGGAAGAACTGCGAGTTGCTGGCGGCGTAGAGGTAGCCCTGGGTGGCGCAGTCGAACTCGGGGGTACGGGTCACGCAGGTCAGCAGGCGCTGGTCAAACACCTGACCCACGTTGCAGAAGAAGCTGGCCGCCAGAGTTACCCTGAGAACACGGGAGTGGGCGGGGTCAGGGTCGATAACGAGAAAAGGCAGCAGCTAGAACTACCAGATGAAGATCAGAAATGCGTCACAAATGTCGAGATCGGGGTTGATCGGGGCACCGGGACACGGTAAAGTTGCAGTGGTCCCGCTTTCAGGGGCATTGGATGGGCACTTGATTTGACAGTTGTGTATGTTTGATGTCGATCGATTATTGTATGGCATGAAGGACTTGGCACGTCACACAACACATTTGATGGGCCGGTGGTTCGAATGTACGTCTATCTGTGTGAAAATCTAGCTGAAAAGCTCTTAGGCGTGCCGTTTACGTGGGAAATTCTATACAAAGCCTGTCTTTAATTGAAAACTTCGATGACCGTTTAATGCAGTGTGCCTATGTATTTACGATAAAACCATGGTGGTATGTGAACATTTTTCAATCAATCAAGAAAGGAGCCTTTCCAGTTCTCAGACCCACCCATGGGCCATATGAAAAGGTAGTTCTGTAATTCTTTCGCAAAATCAGAGAAAGTCAGCCGGATGGAATGCCCCAGAGCGTTATCCGTTGCTGAATCATTGCAAGTACCGTAAATCACCATTGGGTCTGACCATTTTGGCAAACGGTGGTGGCTGGTGAACTTATTTGCTCATCAAATAGTTTGCATCTTATAATTACGAGTTACGACCGTCCCTCCCTCTAAACAGCCCAGCCCAGCCCACATCTTCCTTGACCTTGGCTAATGCCGATTGCCGACGGACCGTCTGAACTCTGAAGCCCGCCTCCCGTCTCCCGTCCCCATCGGCGGCCGGCCGTCTCATCCCCCGCTCTTTCTGTCCGTGCGACTCGCATTTCCCACCCTCTGCCCCCCTCCCCCGCCCCATCCCTGTCTCCGGGCGGTCGGGCGAAGCTTCTCGTCACCGTCTCGACCAATCAGCGTTCAGCAGACACGCAGGCGCGGCGCTCCCAAATTGCAGAGCGGCGGGGAAATGCGCGCGGAAACCGTCGAAACCGTGAGGCAGTCAGTCACGTGCTAGCCTGCGGCGAGAATGGCTGTGTTGTGGACGATGTGATTGCGTCGTGTGTTAGCGGGACTCTACCTACTGTTTTTGGCGGAAGTGAACGAATAACGAGGCAGGACGCAGGTAGTGACAGTGATAGAACTCACGGTGCCACCGTTTTGGAGTGTGCGATAAAAGCGTGAGAACGTGATCGTATACAGTGTGAATTTTTGCGCGTCGTGCTTGATATTTTTCGGCGAACCGACCCGACAAGCACATTCAGCTCATGAGCTTGCGTTAGCGAATGTGGATGCTGGCGCCTGGCGGGCTTACATGGGTGACGCGAAAGCCCCCGCCGTCTCGGCCCGCCAGCGAGTGTCGAAGCTGACCCGCTAGACGTCAGGCCCGGCCGAGACCTCTGTTCTCACCCGTGGTTCTCACTGACCACTGACCAGAGGACGGAGGTCAACGCTGAACCAGGACAAGGAGAGAGGACGGAGGACGCCTCGGCCTCATGATGGTGACGTACCCCTAGGAGCCAAACATAACATGTGCCGAGATGTCACCGAGCTGTCAGTGTTGGTGTGTTGACAGGCTTGCCCTTTTTGAGTCCGCAATTGTGCTTCCTCGTCTACCGATATTTTTCCTTTTTTATTATTATTTTACCTAACCTGTTTTATAATAAACTGGATTTCGCCAACGAAAAGTCGTAACTTACATATTACGTAATGATATAAATTATGATTTGAACGGCATGATTTGAATTTTGAACGGCACATCTCGGCACATGTTTGATGAACGGAGACAATGTGTGGTGCATGTGTTGGGTGCATGGTATGTTGATGTAGCATCTTTGCAAACAGTCTATGCTGTTGTTGATCGTTGCGGTTGGCCGCCCGGCCAAGGGACGGTCAATGGCCGCTACGGCGCTAGGTCTACTACAGCGGTCACTATTGGGAGCCGTCTTTCACATTCACACTGGCGACACATCCCATCTTCCTTGCATCCAGTAGGTATCTTGCTGGCTGCTGCCCAAAGTAGCATCTGACCTGACCTCTGGTGACCTCACCAGATCCACTGGCGGTCGCAGCCGCTAGCAAAAGGGGGGGCCAAAGTCACACTCGCGGGACATAACATTTATCCGTCACCGGGGGGGGGGGGGGGTGATCGGCTAATTTTTTACGTCCACGAGGCGCCGCACAGTTGGCATTACTTATGCTTCATCCATCTCATTCTTGCGTGAAATCTTTGAGCTCAATTTAAGGCAAAATCACCAGTTCCATTTACCGTCTCACGGTGTGCCCACCGGTCGGGCCGCTGCACCGTCCATGACGACGGATCGGTGTAGCATAGGTATACTGGAAGGTCAGGCACGCGGATTCATGACCTTACCACTATAAAACAATTCGGAAAAGTACAGATACATCTTGCTAAAAAGTACAGATACCTCTTGCTTTGAACATTGAACAAGCATGTGAAACCCAGAGAGCATTTTTAGACTTATGACATTTACCCATATAGGTACCTAGTTGTGTGGCGGCGGGAGAGAGTAGGTACACCGGCCTCTGGAGACCCCCACAGGTTCCGAGCTTTCAGAATTGGCATCTGAGGGCCGCGCGCGACTCCTGCGGGGCTTCGCAACGGCTCTGTTGGGGCTCACTCAACCTGCCTAGTCCTACTGCTAAAAAGACTGGCCCTGAGCCCTAAGGACTTCATCAGTCTCTGCCAGCCCCAGGACCCACACCGGCTCATGGGGTCCCGACCTCGAAATTGAGGGAATCAGCGCGGGACCATCAGGACGTAAAGCAATCTCGATCAGGACCAACGTAAGGCTGTGCCGGAGACTGCGTGAGCCCTCTGATCTTCAGAAACCCACCCATGTATGTTTTCATGTAGAGGCCAGTTTAGGGCCCTCAGAGACCAGTACAGGGCCTGCAAACTACAAAGGCCAGTAGTTTGAGACCATCAGAGACCGAGTTGGGCTCTCAGAGGCTAATTTAGGGCCCTCAGAGACCAGTACAGGGCCTGCAAACTACAAAGGCCAGTAGTTTGAGACCATCAGAGACCGAGTTGGGCTCTCAGAGGCTAATGTGGGTCCTTACTCATTACAGGCCAGCATGGGCCGTCAGAGGTCAGCGTGGGGCCCTAAAAGACCGGCATGAGCCGTCGTTGGACCCCAGAGGTCAGCAGAGGGCCCTCAAAGGCCAAGATGGGCCCTCCTCAGAGGCCAATGCAGACCCTTAGAGGCCGGCATCGGGTCTTCAGCAGCCAGTGCGGGGCCCTTATTGGCACCTAAAGGTTCGTCTTGGGACACCAGAGACAGAAATAAGGCCACCAGAGACCGGTGTGAGACCCTCAGACGCCGGTTGGGACCCCTGAGGCCGGTTAGGGGCCCTCATAGGCCAGATGTGGGGCCTCAGAGGTTGATGTAGGCTCTTAGCGGTCAACGTGGGCGCTTGACCGCCACTGAAGTTCCCTCAGAGGTCAGTGTAGGACGTTCAAAGACCGGTGTGGGAGCTATATTAATAGCTGGGCGTGGGTTTTTTTTTAGCCTCGTGACGATCGAATAATTGCCAGGGCCCCATACACCTATATGGGGGCCCATTGGCTGTTTGAGGGGGGGGGGGGCAAATGATATGATGGCCCCCTTTATTGACCTTTGGGGGCATGGCCCTGATGCCCCCCCCCCCCGCCCCCGCGACCGCCACTGTGTACACATTACACACATGCCTCTGAGATTACATACTAGCTCATGCAAACTCTATGCAGCAGGCGCGGATACAAGGGGGGGGGGCCATGGGGGCCATGGCCCCCCCCCCTTGGCCGATTTTTTTTCAAAAATAAAATAAAAAGTTAAAAAGTTAAAAAGCTGAAAAGGGGGCCTCCTGAAAATAAAGTGGCCGAAATCCGATGAGTTTTTTTTTAACCTACCCACTTAGTTATTTCTTAGAAGACTAGCTGAGAAGACTTCTTTGTTAGAAGATTGGTAAAGCTTTTCATAACTTGGAGGTCTCTTATACTCGCAGAGATGACCACTTTTACAGGGCCTCCTAACCTGCACAGAGGGCCTCCAAGCCTGCACAGATGTTGAGATGTTGCCTGAACAGCTAGATAAGCTCAATAGACGCAGTTTTTTTTTGGGGGGGGGGGCCAACAAGTGGGAAGATGGGGCCTCCAACAGGTGGGATTATGGGGGGGCCTCCTGGTTTCTAATGGCCCCTCCCTTGGAGATTTTCTGGATCCGCCCCTGCTATGCAGGGCCCGGAGGTCCCACGCTAATCCTTAAGAAACCAAGCCGGCATACGGCGTCACCACCGGGCTTCTGAGGTGCACAGCACCAACCCATGAGGTCTTACTTTAGTGTCTTGGAGCCAATCTCCTTTAGCAGGGCCCACCCGCCACTGCCGAAGAGGGTCTCATGCCAGCCATTGCTGAATGCTGGGCCTACGAGAGCCTCAAGTAAACCCACGCTGATATTCCATATAAGATCCGGCCATACTCGTGAACCGGTGCCAGCGACGCTGACCGCCTGACCGCCAAATTGACAGAATGCGAAACATGAGCCCACTCATGAGTGAAATTTACGTCCTTTGATGGCGCAAGAAAGAAAATGAAACATACGAAAAGCTTTTCTAGGACTTTTGTTCGATCTGAAAGGTGGGGCCAAAAGATAGTATGGCCCCACCTTTCAGCACCAAAGGGGGGCCATGGCCCCCGTGCCCCCCCCCCCTGCGACCGCCAGTGACCAGATCACGTGACCTGGCTTGAACCCCCGTTTATCTTACCGTATTACGGTTATTACCTGGCCTTAGCGACCTCATTTTATCGCGGCTATAACCTCTGACTTTTGTCATCCTCACTTTATTCCGGCTAGTATGACATCTGATCTGCACTGACCTCTGACCTATGTTGACCTCTGACCTCTGGTGATTCTGACCTCCGTTGACCTCACCTGATGACGGACGCTCTGCGTACGGCGGAGGGCACGACTACTGGTTATGACCTCCGGCGACCTCTGACCTCTGTTGACCTCACCTGATGACGGAGGTGCGGCGGAGGGCACGGCTATGACCTCCGTTGGCCTCTAGCGACCTCTGACCTCTGTTGACCTCACCTGATGACGGAGGCGCGGCGCACGGCGGAGGGCACGTCTATGATCTCTGGTGACCTCACATGACCTCTGGTGACCTCTGACCTCTGTTGACCTCACCTGATGACGGAGGCGCGTCGTACGGCGGAGGGCACGGCCACGGGCTGACACACGTGATACACGCGGCAGTCGTTACTGATATCCGTGTAGTAGCCGTACGGTAGGCCCTCGCAGCTGAAACGGGAACCGGCGACATAGCTCAGCTTATTGGGCTGGGATAGAGGGTGGTGTTGTTACACTGTGGCCTGTGGGTGCATCTTTATAGTTATAATGATGCACATAAATTAACATGAAAACATCACACCCAAATTTTAAATGGTGGAAACGGTATGACATCATACCTTACAGCTCATGCACGAGTTCTCTACGTGATTACTAGGAGCTGTGTCGGGCTGAATCTTTTGGATGGCTGATGGGTTCGGTAGTGTTAAGTTAAAAATCCACGTCCAAGGTAATGCACAACTGCTGGCTGCATCTAAATGAACACCAAGGCAGTGCAAGGGGAATCTGACTTACCCATAAATACCATGCGTGATGCTATACTGGGAATGTTTTTTAATCTGCAGCTGCGTACCATGAATTCATTCCCGCTGACTCGTTTTAGGCTATTCCTTCACGCCATTATGGCCATAGTCGGGCTCACAATAAGTGGCGGTGTTGACACAGTATGCGACACCTGCATTTTTGGCGACACCGGGCCATGTTATCCCCAGATTCGGGCGAAGGCCGAGCTGGAGTATCCTCTCAGGTAGCTGGCAGGGCGGCAGCGTAATAACACCTCTCTATTCCAGCCCAAACGCCTGACGGGTGAAGGTTGTGGTAAGATAGGTAGTTACGTACGTTTCAATCCGACTTATTGCGTCTAATTAGGCCTCGAGTCATCTCAGCATACCTTTCTTTCAATCCCACTACTCGCTCACTCCATCTCTGTGACTTTGCTTGCTATCTCTGCTCACCAACGCACCAGCTGTCATTGGACAGCTTAGCGCCATGAATGCCCAGTTTTCATCTACCGCGTCCATGTTAATTTTCCTTTTACCCGTCCCTCACCTTGCCTGAAGGTACCCACCTTACCTTATCTAAAAACATCCACCTGTTCTCACCTGAACGTCTCCTCCACCTGTTGGAGGACCTCTCGGGCTCCAGCCGCCAGTCCCAGCGGCTCGCTGGAGGTCACCAGGGTGGGACTCTCGATTGCCGACCCGTCCAGGCGGATCCAGGCGCCCTGCAGTCCCTGCTCCTTTCTGTAACGCCTGCCAATGGAAGCCGCGAACACCGTAAATGGGAGGTAGTACGGTGAGCTTAACACCTTCTCGGGACCGCAAAGTGTGTTCGATCGCGAGTTGCTGGCGATTTTTAACCGATCATAGCATGAGGTACGATTGACGGATGTAGCGATTTAAGTTGTTTAGTTGTTTTGAACAAGCTGACTGAGGCATGAGCTGTTATGATTGAATATGAGGAAAGATTCGAGGTGCTGGTCCACTCCCGAAATCTCGCGGTAAGCGTTGCAGCAGTGTTTGTGCACCGTTACAGGACACGTCGGCTTGCTTTAGTCGTGTTAGCTTGTCTGGAAGCCGCCGATTAGTGATGTTGGGTTGTAAAAAAATAAACACCCAGGTAACTTTTCATCTCATCCAGCCTCAATGACAGTGTTTAAAATGAGCAAAAATTTGCTGGATTAGTTTGACCAGCTGTATGAAGGGATATGACCGACTACATGATCGCCTTACAAATTGGTGGTCGGTATTTGATAAAGTCCTCCTAGGCATATTTTTGAGTGAACAAATGATTAAATAATGTCTCTCAAAGCGACGTAAAGCGTTGATGTGCTTAACAGATACCGTATCTCTAAAATTCTTAGCTGAATATTTGCGCTAAGGAGGCTCTCCAAAGTCGGTCCCCCACTCCACTTACTTGATGAACTGCTCCAGCGTCTCTCCCGGCTCCAGCTGACCCCTGACGAAGAAGTCGGTGTCGACCACGAAGTTACCTCGCAGCTGGAACTGGAACTGGTCTCTGAGACCCAGCACGGCCGGGGTGCGGAAGACCGCCAGCACTGTCGGAGACATGCGACAGGTCAGCTTTTGGAGGTCGGGCCAAGCGGATGGGCGAATTGGTGGACTGGTGGTATGGAGACAGACTCAGAGATAATGCGCCCTATGAACGCGCATTCAGTTTTCACTATTTGATGTCATTGATAATGTGTGAAAATTTGGCAATGTCATAAGCATTCCTTTTGAAACATATTCGGTGTGACAGGTCGACCCGTACCAGGCCAGACCAGAACCGCCACAGAAACAATATAGCGAAAACTTCCAATTAGCACCTGAAACAACATATGAATGATCCTAAAGTTACCGATAAGACGGCTCCGATGTTCCGCACAATTCGTTTAGCCAGTTTGATGCAAAGTTTTGTTGTGAACCAGTGCACTTTATGAGTTGCTCGAAGCTTTTAAATAACGAAATGATCTGCACGGAACGCGAATATTTACTCACGAGTCGTGAGTATATTTGTAAAATTGGTTAAAGCTTTTATGAGGCCAGCGATATCGTGCGAAATCATCAGCAACATAACAGCAACATCTAATGAGAGACCAATGAACCGTTTACCACAACACCGCTTATAGTCTGATCAACTGGATACGATAGCCGATATACCGTTCGGAAATATTTAGCCGCCAGACAGGAGGCCAAATATCGCCCAGTAAAAGAACAGTGTGATTTACTTATGTAACGAATGACTCATTGCAATAAACCGTAAAGAGCAGCCTGATCAAACCTGATCAACCGCCAGTGTTGGGTAAACAAGGCACCGTTTAGAAGTTAATCGTCAAACTATGAGCATATTTTTTTCCATGGATAATTTGTGTGCTCTGTGGACGAATTACCGTGCATTATTTTGTTGGTGAAGCTGGTCATTCAGATAGTTAATTCGTTGGGTTTTCTTTCTGTCGTTTTCTTTCCGTACCTACTCAGCTATTGCCAGTTGACCTTTGGACTGGTTCTGCTTCTGCAGCGTTCTTTGATCCGAGTCCCGCACAAGGTCACGGACAGACTCCGTCTCTGCTCAGTCCCGGTTGGACTTAACCCAGAAACCTGCAGCTCACCCGGCCCGGTCACAGCTCGGTTGGCTGCTGAGCTCGTTTGTGAACGAACTCCTCAATCCGGCTCCGGCCCGGATGCCGGGTAACACAGCTGATCCGGAGCTGGTAGAGAGCGAGAGTGCACGGACGGACTGCAGGGTCACTGAGCCGGAAGGTCACTTACTCGTAATGCTCGGTTAGAGAGTTAATTGAGTGCTCGGTCAGCAGAGCTCATTGACTGCTCGGTCATAGTTTATTGAGTGTTCTGTCAGAATTGTGGAGTGTTCAGTAAGGAAATTCATCTAGTTTTCGTTCGGAAGTTTTATTGAGTGTGCACTTCAGATTTATTGAATGCAAGGAGTATGAGTAAGCTAGAGAGCTACAATGTAATGCTCGGCCAGAGTCCATTTGGTAGGCCCGGTTAAGAAGTTTGTTGAGTAGTCGGTTAGCTATTCATTTTTTTTCAGAGCTCATTGGTTGTGGGTTCGGGCATATGTTCACTTGAGTGCTCGTGTAGCAGGTTTTATTATATGTTCGACTTAAGTTTTATGAAGTGATCGGTAATAACTTTTTGCGTGGTTATTTACAGAGTTGATTGAGTGCAGAGTGTTCGACTAGAGATAATTTACCGCTTAGTCTGGGATTCCTCTGGCCTGGAAGGTCATAAAGTGCAAAGGACCGGTAGATTATGAAGTTTCTTGCGAGTTCAGTGAGTCATCGGACGGAAGGTCGCTGAGAGTTTGATCGGAAGGCAATAAGAGCAGCTGTCATTTGTTGTACTGGGTGCAATATGTGACACAATTCCTTGTGAGTCTGAAGCACGTGTAGAGCTAGAAGAGACACACACCATGAGTGCCAGTAAGTACATGTGTCAGTATTCAAATCGAAGCAGTTGCCAGTCATAATTACCAGTGAGCAGGGCTGCCGCAGCGGTCAGCTCCATGGCTGTCTCTCTCGCCGTTATATCAGCACTGGTAGGTCGGGTCGTCTACTTCCGGAGGAAGATGGGAGTACCTCGCCGGTCCAGCCGGGCTCCTCGGCGGTCGTTGGAGGTGCCGCCGCAGTTCGCAGGACACCGCGCTGATAGCCTCTGAGGCCAATCCAAGCGCCGCCCCAGCTCCGGAGCGGTCGGCTCTGCCCCCGGACACCGCTGGACACCAACTGACCGGTCCCGGTAGCCGAGTGGCTCCTCCGCTGCCACTGGACCTGCCATCGTCCCGCCCGACAGACCGCAGACTGCAACCGGGCTCCCATTTTTCGGCGGGATGGTATGCCCATTGGTGGATCGTAGTAACACCGATTTAAACTGTTGTCCCATAGACCTCTGTATACCGAGGTCTATGGGACATAGGTCTATGGGACTACCGAGGTATACAGAGGTCTATGATTGTCCTTTTTCGTTTTTAGAACTTTGACGTAGCAGCCTTTACAGCTTCCTTTTCCGTTAACATGATTGAAAAAAGTTGGATAATACTTCTATAAAGCTGTTATCACATCGTAAAATAAATAAAATGGATTAACACATGTAAAATACTAAGCTGCGTCCAACACCTTTTCATGCTTGTGATTTCTTTGCAAACGTAGACGCTCTTACAGCTTACTTTTACATGTTAAACCACGCCCCGCAGAATCTGCCCCCTCCCGTTTTTCGCCAATAACTTCTAAACGCGTTACGCCAGCGACGTCAAACTTTCAGTACCTTTTCATACATCAATTTGACACGGTCCCTGAAAATTTGAGCGAAATCCGTCGGATTTTTTTTTTGTTGAGATATTGACGTTTTAGTGACGTCATGTTCGCCATTTTCGCCTCAAAAACGGCAAAATTTCAAACGCCGCTAACATCTTCATTTTTAAAGGAATCAAGACGTAACAAAAAAGGATATACGTGATTCTACTTTGTCTATCAAATGGCTATCTCGGATTTTGAAAATTTTGGATTTTGGCCTAATTTTTCTTTCTTTCAAAAAAACTGACTTTTTTGGGAAAATAATTATAAAATCAAAAATTTTGAGTGTATCGAAAAAACCGGAATATATGTCAGAGAAGTGGTCTATGTGCACCTACATACCAATTTTTAGAAGAATCGGGTCAAAAATGTGGGAATTATTCAAAATTTTATGACGTCACGACACATGAAATTTTGAAAATGATTTTTTTTTTAAATTCTAGACTTCGTACGGAAACAAAAATAACACCATTCGATTCGCCGTGAAAAACTGCATCAGATAGACACATTTGTAGGCCTTAACAACCAACTTCCAAATTTGAGCTCACTTGACCTGACCTTGACCTGACCTCGACCTGAAATTCATCTAGAGGTGGTCCATATCACTTATTGAGTGTGCCTATTGAATTCTATAAGTAAAATGACCCATAAAAGATGTGTCGCACCTGCCCTTTTCTATATTTTGTTTTTGGTGACCTGACCTGACCTTGACCTTGACCTTTGAATGACATTGTATGCAGCGAATATTGTCTTGGCAGTCCAAGAACACGTTTTGGGCAATCAGTCTCAGTCCATTCTTCGGCAACTACGGTGCAAGGCCGATATTGTAGAAACTTGCATTTTGTACCCTTGACCTGACCTTGACCTGACCTCTGACCTACTTAAGCAAAAAATTTGGGCTCTTAAGATCCGCGCCTTGTTGAGAGCTTTCGATTGCCGTTTTTCCCGTCTTTCTACGACCATCAGTTCGGAAGTTAGACAGGGGGGCAGAATCTGCCCCCCCCCCCCCCAGCAGGGCGCGTATGGCTGAATAGCCCAGCGGGGCGCGGGTTAAGTTTGCCATTTACAATACTATTTTATCCATAAATAACTTGTTTTGTCAATAAAACACCCACAACACATGAAAAATAAAGAAACAATTATCAATTACGTCACTTAGGTTCATACGGTGCGCCACCAAGTGCGCCAACAACTGTCTCATATCACGCCCCGCATAACCCGCGGGGCGCGGGTTAAAGATGGCTATCGTGTACAGTTCGTCATATTTCTACTGCTGTTTTTGCTCTGATGACTTTGCATGCCATTATTTGCAGATGGAAAGTTTTTGATCATTTATTTTTCTTCCAATCCAACCGATCTTAAACAGAACTACAGCGACCCCTAAATTTTTGTACTGACAAACTCAGTTTGCCGGCTCTTGTAAACATCAAACATCATGCGAGCATTTATTTGCGTTCTTTGTGATTACACATTTCCTTCTACGCCATTTTTTTCTTAGAAGACGGACTCAAAAATCATTTCTTCCGCTAGCTGTTTTTACCACTTACCTACATTTATTACGTGTCAGATATTTGGAATAATGTCACGTAACTGGTTTTATAAACGTTCGATTTGGAACTTAGTGCTGTTAGCTGTATGCCAAGTGCGTCTGGATAAATAGCCACAAGATAGCTTAGCTTGTCCGCGATTTCTGCATTTTTGTTTGGATTACCTGTAATAGGACGTCTTTAACCCGCGCCCGGCTGGGGGTCCTGGATTTCCACGCCCTGCTGGGGGGGGGGGTGTTTGAACACCCCCCCCCCTTCTAACTCGGCTCCTGGGCCACGTAGCGATACGCGGAAGGCGGCGTTCGAAAATCGAAAGAGCGCCGAAAATAATGACGAAATCACTTCGGTCACTTTTTTGGTCAGGTCAAAGGTCAGGTCACCAGAGGTCATTGAAGGCAAAATTTCGTCGATTTTCAGGTCGAATGTCGACAATTTCCAGGAAGCCAACGCATAACTCGGGAACCAATAAAGCTACAGCGCCGCGGAAAAGCGCATTCGATAGCCCTATTAACGCCCTTTCTGAGTAATTCTCTCAAATTTGAACTAACGTCAACGGTTTTGCCTGCAGGGGGCAAAAACTGCAAAAATAGCCGATTTTTTCGGAAACAGTTTTTCTGCAATAACTTTTGACCCAAGCCTTGCACGAGCTTACTTTTACCGGCATCGTGTTCCTCTTGTCAAGACGCATCGAATGAACTATAACTTGACCTTGAAAGGTCAACTTGAAAATTTGACCTCAGGTCAAGGTCATGACCTGACCGGAAACGGTCATGTTGCATATCAGTCGATCCGTATCGTCGAGCTGAGCACATCTAAGGCGTTTTCACCGCTCTAGCATGCCTCTATCAAAAGTTATTTGCGAAAAACTGATAGACACCATTCTTGACCTGAGATGACCTCAGGGGCATAAATAGGGGTCACGGACACCACTTTCATGTTCAGTGTGTCTAAACCACTTGTAATTCAGTGTTTGGGAGTGTTTATAATGTCTTTCGTCCAAAAGAGGCGCATTTCAATTTTCTCCCATTGACTTATAATGGGGAGGTCGCAAAATTGACCTGACCTTAGGTCACCGATATCAAAATTCCGAGATAAACATTTGATAGATACTGTTACCCTTATCAATCGCTGAAAGTTTCAAAGCGATCGGTCACTCGGTGTAGCTATGGCAGACATTGAAACTTTTTATGAGGTGAGGTCACTTTAAGTGACCTGGTGACCTGACCTTGAATGACCTTGGTCTGAAATTTTCACAACATGTGTAGAATTGATATATGATAAGGTGTACCAAAAACGGCGGCTGAGATATTCGCAAAAACCACAAGGGGGGGTGTTCAACCCCCCCCCCCCCAGCAGGGCGCGGGTTAAGGAAAAATGTAATTGAGCTAGCTCATCAAGCGTTATTTGGCTGCTTTTGGCATCGTAGAGGATGGTTTGGCTGGATTTTCCACTTCCACACCGCTTCACATTTGACCCAATTGGTCAGTGGAACATACGCCGGGCAGCGCTTCTAACCGAGGTCCCTAGTTTAAGTGGCAACTTAGTCGTGAATTGCCCGCCGTGCCGTGAGGTCTGATCCCCATTTAGGTGACGTAATTGCGCCACCACCTGCTCAACTGACCCGTCCCTGCGCGGATAGTGGTGGGTGCCGTGTCGCGCTGGATAGATCCTGTTTGCTAGTGAACATATGTTCCTGCAAAAAAAACTTCCTTACGTCCTCATCTGTCTAGGCTGGATACCGCAATTTGTCTGGAGACGCGTTCATAGCAACCGCACTGTCTGTTTTCCGGGTTTCTGGGACCAATCAGTGGTCTCGAAGCCATAATTTTGCCGACTTCTGGTGGCAAAACTTTGGTTCAGTGCGATCAGGGCCGTTACTCAGCCGTGGTATTACAGTGGCGCGGGAACCGGGGGGGCTAGGGGGGGCTGAGCCCCCCCAGCTTTTCGGCTGGGGGGGCTCGTAATGTATTTGAGCCCCCCCAGCTGGAGGAATCGAAATCGGAAATCTACCAACATAATTTCATAGATTCATACATAGGCGTGGGAACCGGGGGAGGGGGCAGTGGGGGAAGCTTGCCCCCACAACTCTGCGGCCGTGGGGGCGGTGCCCCACAACGTTTCATGAGGCCAGGAACCGTCGGGCAGCTTGTCCTCCCCAAATTAGGGGTTGTGGGTCACAAAGGAAGAAAGCATGTAAGTGGAAAATCCACCTATTTCACTGGCTCGGTAACTCATTTGGCAGATTAAAACCTTTACTCTAGGTTGCCAAAACGGTAGTTTCTTCACTCAGCTGAGACGGAATACCTCACTTTTTGAAAATATTTTCGTTTTTTCTTTGTTGTTGAAAAGGCCAAGGTCTGAAAAATAAGTGGCCTAAAACCGGTGAGTAAACTAGATTTGGGGGTACCCTAGGTTGATTTCTATTATGGTTCAGCCCCCCCCCCCCCAGTCTGGAAGAAGTTCCCGCGCCACTGGTGGTATATGCTGACACACCTTACTTCTTAGATCCGGCTCAACGCTTACTGGCACGGAAAGAACCAACAGAGTGCGCATGTCGGTACATTTCATGCAATCGCTCCGATGTATTTTGAACATCTTTCGACTATCTACACTTTATATTTTCTAATTTCGTGTTTTATTTGCTGTCGAATAGCACGCTATGCAGGCTTTTGTAATAAACTGGGTCAGTTGATATATCTAGTAATGTTTTAGTATGGCGGGCTTTAGTTAATCATATCAGTTTGACAGACCTTTGTTACATTTCTTTACGCATCTCTTGAAATTCTATCGAACTTTTGAACCAATGAAAATGAAGCAGCAAAGTCAATTACGTCCACGCTCTGAAGAAGAAAAAGGACAACTGTTCTACTTGGTACTACTTAAAGCCAGATTAACTGC